TACGTTTCCCTAATAACTAATTTTCAACGTTTAAAGCAGTTCTTTCTAATTTTCGTTTCAACGAAAATTATTATTCGGCTTATTTGCTTCATTTTCAGCTTGTGTATGTTCATACATCAATGGAATAACAACTGTATAGAATAAATCAGAGGCCGATATACAAAAACTGAATCAGTAACTTTCTTAATTCTCAGGATATCCTAATATCCTTCATTGGATAATGGCAAAAGCAAAGCTGCTTCAATGAAATTATTATCAGTAATATTTGAACATATTCTATACAAGCATTACACTCAATGATCAAGCACTCATTCGATAGTTGTGGTTCTGTCTCGTTAAAATGAATTTATAGCATAATGCTTAATGATACAAACGTATAATACTCTGATACTCTGGATACAAGGATACTCTGGAAATAAGCGAATGTCAGATCTTTTTTTTCTCTATAAGATAATATCTGAAACAAATTTGTGAAAGCATAGCTCAGCCCAACATCAAAATACCCATTAACGCGAATAGCAAAAATAAATTTTCTCTTATTTCGTTTCGAATGCTATTAGAACAAAATTCTTAGTGTTGGAATGGGTCGAAATTTAACGTGCCATCCAACGTAAATGATTCCTTTGTTTTTCCGAATAACTAGTAGTCTCTGAAATCAAAGATGCTCAGTCAGACTAAATTTTAGTAACGAACATAGGATAATGGTTACTATCAAATTTAGCTGAATGTAATCAAAATTTGTTAATAATATCAAATTATTTAAGAAGATTTAACTTCTAAAAATTGCTAAGTGATTATTTCTAACAAAATTCATCAGACTACGACTCTTAATTTATAATTAATCCTGAAAATATGTAATTGTATAGTTAAAATTTAAAAAATAAAAAATTAATACTTTAAAAAAAGTTTTTGTCGAGAGAACAACGTCTGCCAGCTCATGTTTAGAATAATTTTTAAGGAGAGTATATATTGGTTATAATTAATAAGCTAAGTCACCAAGCTAGAGTAAAATGATAAGATGAATTAAAAAAGTGCGATAAATGCAAACTTATTGGTAATAAAATGGTAATTTGTATGAAGGACATTAGACGAAAACTAATATTGTATTAATAAGATAAAACCTTATCATTTTCAACAGCACAAGGTTATTTAGTAACGAAAAATTCATTTTCTTGCTAAGACTTATACAATGTTAAAAACCAGATTGATAGTTAAACCACACAATTGTTCACATTCTTTTCAACGCTAATAACGAGTAAAAGGACATATATAAAAGTGAGAACATAGCATAATTATATAAAAAAGGATATATTTTTTTCGGATATTAAGATTATAACATTTAACAGTTAAGATTTCAAATGAATTGAATTTAAAGTAGCTTTTAGAAGTTTAGGTAAAAATCTTCCAACACGGCTCACTTCAAAACAATAATTCTTAAAGTTTGCACTTATATGCAGTTATTTAGCTTTGATCTAATATTTAGATCAGAGAGTTATTCATCATTAAAATTTCGTTAATTTATAAAATTAATTGTTAATAAATTCTTGAAAATGTTTTTTCAAACCACTTTATTTCAATTTTATATTTGAGTACAAATATAATTCCGATAATCTAACAGATTTTGTTTGACTACTATTAGATTGTTTTTTATAATTAAAAATTATCAAATTTATGTTTTTTTGCTTGTAACTAAAGCGTCAGAAAAAATATATAAAAGGGACACCGGTGTCCCACCCGCATCAAAGGGTTAAGAAATTTGTTTCTGCTGAATGACTTCAGCGTGTTAAACATTGCTGTTCTGATAGACTCAGGATGAGCAGTGGAAACAATTTTTTTTTTTTTTTCCAGAATAAACTGTAAACCATGAAGCTTCATTTAGGCCTGTTAATCAGTCACACTATTGTTCAAGTTACTATTTGTTCTTTTCCCTTCTTTTATAAAAAGTGTGTAAGAAATGAATAGTTTAAATTATATAGAACAACTGTCCCACACGTGGCAGAAAAGATAAAAATATTCTCGAATAATGAAAACATGTTTTCAAAAGTTTCAGTTAGATTTCATTTTCGCAAATATTTGAAATTAATCACTTTTAATGGAGTAAGAAAGTGTTTTATCTCTACTATATTGACTGATAACGAAATTTCATTTTTTACCTTACCAAACTGACTTACCTAACTGAAGAATAAAAGACTTTGCTTGCACCGTTGTAATACATTGTGTAGGATAATAATTTGGAATTTCTTTGAAGTAGAAAATATATACTTAGTTAACTAAAAAAAAGTTATACTTATTATTCAAAAAAAACTCATTTAATTTTTAAAATTTTTGTTTTTGCCATTTTTAAAAAGTAAGTATGTTGAATTATATATCATAATATCATTCTATCATCTCTATTCATTATTATCTATCTATATCATCATTGTTTACTTTATTCACTATATTGCTATATCCTCACTATATCACTATAATACTCTCCCTATATCATACAATTGAGTCATAAACCATTATTGTTATTCATTATTATCTACCTGTATCACTACTTTTCATTATTAATCTGTATCATCATTCCCTATCACTATATAACTATTTCTATCATCAATATTTATTTTATTCATTATATCGCTAAACCCTTTCAATATCATAGTATCCTCAATATATCCTTCAGTTGAGTGTTAATCGGTCATCATTAATCATTACCATCTACCTATATATCACCACCATTCATTGTAATTACTATCAATATGATCATTATTTACTTTATTCACTACATTGCTATATCCTCATTATATCATTCAGTAGAGTCATAAATAACTTGCGCATTGAAAGTATGCTCAAAAAATGTGTTATACTTTATGTATCATTGGAAGTGTTATACTTCATGTTTCACTTTAATTCATAGTTATGCATGCTATGCTTTGATGATAATTTTATGATTATCCGAGATATAATGTCTAACAAATGTTTCGAACGAAAAAATAATTTTACAGTCTGTTCTTAAGCTGGTGCAATTATTAATTTTTTGCTACAAAAGAGAGGGACGTAAGAGGTTACTTCCCCCTTTTAATAATTTTTCAGAACTTCAGAAATTAGGGCTCTCGATTCCTGAAGTGGCTATATTATTTGGTTGAATCAAAAATACTTCGATTTCTTTACAAATTGGAAAAAATTAGTCCTTTCCTGCATCTATCAATAATCGTTAATTCATACTTAGAAACTTTTACTCGCTTAGCTTAAAAAATGAAGGTGAACATTAATAATTTAACATGCAATTATCAAATATTTTCCATTCTCCAAATTTGATAAATTGTTTTAGACTTTTATTTTAAATTTTTATATTTAATTCTTTTGCTTGCATTTTATGCAATTAGTTAATTTTAAACTTCTGCATTTTGTTTAAAATCTCTAAGTAGAATAGTTGGATAAAAAATTTCCACGTCATTTTTTTTTATTTATTTTTTTTTTATTCACCGTACATTACAATTTCGATGTATATTCAAACAAGCAATTCGCTTGAATCGTACAGGTGAAACATAAGAAAGTATTTATTCATGGAAATAACAGCTAAGCTCGAATATATGAAACAATATACACAATACTAGTTAAGTTTGAAATAATTACTTAATTTAGAACATAAACGGTGCAAGCAAATTGGTTACATTAAAATTATGTTTTTAGTTCCTGACATTATATAATATTTTAAATAGAATAAATTTCTGCAAAAATTGTTCTGATAAATTAAATGTAGAGAAAAAGAAGAATATTTTAAAAGAGATAATCAAAATAACATGCAGTTTTGAGAACAGTTTTTTTTTCTGCAGCGAAGCAAATCAATAAAACTAAATTCTCACAAAACCAAAAAAATTATGAATAAAATATAATATTTTGTCAGTTAGAATAATTCGAAATTCTTTAACACGGATGCAATTTTTATCCAAATTTTTATGATGAAGCTGTGAAATAAATAAACTTGATTTGTTTGAAGAAGTGGCATACCTATTTCAAAATGAAGCAAATTAACAAAAATAAAATTCAAACTAACATGGCAAAAAAAATCTTGCTAAAGATGAATCAAATCATTTTTTTTAATAATATAAATCCATTTCTCTAGCCATATTTTAAGAATTAAATGGAATAAACATTTTCTGACTCTTAAACAATTTTAACGAATTAAAGGCAAGACCAGTTAAAAAGAGACACGCGCCGTGGGAAAAATGAAGTTGAACTTGCAAGGTTTCAATAACACTCTTGCGTGTTACAATGGCGTGCATCGCGGCGTTCTAAACAAAAGGATTCGACACATTCTGACCTTCAGTTAAACATGTTACTCAAAAAACATTTCTAAAAAATAAAAAATTCATTTATTTGGTGATATCAGACGTGTGTTTGAAAAATAAAAGTGCTCAAAAAGACATCGCTTACTGGTAAGTATGAAAGCTATTTATGAGAATAATGTTACTCAAACATTATTAATATACTACAATATAAAGTTTTTCTATTTCGGAAGTGTTGATTTGTTGTCCCTGAGCATATAGGAATAGAATTTCGATAAAACATTATTTTCGTCTTCAATAAAATTTCAATTTACGACATTTTAATAAAAAAATTTTAACCCTCCCTTCGTCAGGTTCCTATAAGACAGCAGTTTAAAAATTTCACTATTTTCCTGTGAGCTCCACCTTAAGAAATTTAATTTCTATGTAAACTTTCTATAAGTTAACAGCGAAGAAATTCCATTTCGATGTAAAGTTCCTATAACATAACCATGAAAAAAATTCAATTTTCATGTAACGTTTCTATAAGCCAACAGTTTAAAGGAAATTCATTACTTTGAAAATTTCATCTAAGTTAAAAGTACAAAATTCCTTTTCTATGCAAAGTTTCTATAAATCAACAGAAAATTTTATTCATATGCATAGTTTCTATTAGCTGACAACGAAAAAATCCATTTCTATGCAAAGTTTTTATAATAAGTCAACAGCAAAGAAATTCCATTTCAATGAAATTTTGTACGTTGTTGTACGTCAACTGTGAAAAAAATTTCACTCTTACCTAAAGCTCATGTAAATCAATGGTTTTGGCTGAAGTGGTACGGAAACAATTTAAGAACCACTTCAGTTGAAATTCTTTCAACGTAATTATTATTTTNAATTTATGTATTTATTATTTTATTTTTTGATGTCAGTAACTACAGTATTTTAAAAGATCACGTTAAAAGTGCGCAAAAAAAAAAAAAAAAATTCTATGTGTTAATGCTACATGGTAGTAAAACGGAAGCTAAATTTTAGATTTCCTTGCTTCACAAAACTGTAAAGATAGGTTTCGCAGACTTTGCATTTTCATAAAAGCTAATACATTCGGTAAATTAATAAAAAAAACACTTCGTCATGAATAACTTTTGATCTAATGATCGTAATTCTGCTCACCAAGAATCAGTTTCAACCATCTAGGTCCAAATGAAGTATTTTTCTTAATAAGCCCTTTTTGTTTTTGACAGATTTTAATTTTTGACCCCCAACATTTGAATGGTAGTCGCAATTTCGAAAATGTGGTCCAGACAGCTTATGGTCAAGCAGATGATCGGAAGTTTTAAGACCTTAATGATGTTTGTGTGTATACCCTCTCTTTGGAACCAATTGCTTAAATTAAAAAAATTTTTTGAGAATATAGCGTACCTAGTATGATTTCTCGCTGAAAATAATGTCTAATAAACACATATTTTTTCCGATATTTATTTTAATAATCAATGAAAGACTATCACATTGCAAGATTTAAAGATTATCAACTTTAACAATGACAATAATTTATAATAAAATTCGAAATTTGAAAATAGCTCGAATAGTTTCCGAGAAAAAAAAATTTAAATACTGCTTTTTCACATTTAGTGTACTGTAATAGTTGCATATAGTTAAGTGTTTGTAAATGCAAACTTTATTTATTTCAGACAGAAAAATGAATATTGGCGTCGTTCTTATTACTTGTGCTGTTATATACTCAGTACAAGGAGGTTGTCCAACAGATACTTGTTCTGAAAGTATGTACGCATTATTATCATCATTTAGTTGGCAATGTATTATCAACATAACTTATAGTGTACTTTTTATTTCAGTCTATACAGTTTGAGCCTATTTAAATGTAAACGTATTTGCATAATTTTTTTTTTAAAACTGATCGAAAGTGAATCTAATTACTCCATAAAAATGAAAGTCTGTATTACTCTTTGAATTACATTTATCCATCAAAAGATTCATTTCATATGAACGAACAAATTTTTGAATAAATTACGTGAATAAATGAATTAATATTGTGAGTATCTAGTTATGCATATCTCTTATCAGGAAAATGAATTACTTTAATCATTTGATATTCAATTAATTTATACTTAAATAGTCATATTATCTGTAAATAATGTATAATAAAACTAAGACCTTATTTCAGTAGTGGACTAATACTATTTTTTGAGGTATAGAGCCTTACATTATTATTTTACAACATTCTTTTTCTAATCTTTCATTCTATATATACTGTGGGTGAAAAGAAAAAAAAACTTTAAAAACATATATGGGATTGACCTTATTCACTGTTAGAAATTTTTTGCTAGAAATGGGTAAATAGCAATTTATTTAATATTATTTTACCATATTCAACCAAAACAGTCAAATAACAATAGAAATTAATTATATTAAAATTATTTGTGAGAAAAAACGTTTATTGGTTTTTTTCCTTATACGGTTAAATAATCAGAATTCTATCTATGAAACTAGGCTCCCTTATAAAGCCGTTTTGTTCTTTGCAGTTGGGTACATACTCTAGCTGAGAGGGCTGATCGGTCAATCTCATGTCCAGTTGTTTGGGGAATCGAATCCCAGTGATGATACTACAATATTTTTTCATTCCTTCATTACGTGAAGAGTTTCCAGTGTCTTGCACTCTTCAATCAGTGACCTTGGGTCATTATGCTACGAAATTATCATTTACGCACAAAAAACGTCACGCACATAAATTTTCAATGAAAATAAGCATAATGTTTTTCAAAATTTCCTAAATGCATGACATTTTGGTTAGAGTGTAGAATAGGGTTCCTATTAAATTGGTGACAAATTGTGTTAAATTCTGCTCAAACCTGCGTTGTGTTTCTGATGTTTGAAAACATAACTGCGACATTGTTTCCTAAATTAACATCAATGCTAAATGTTTTGGTACTTTTCGGTTAGCCGGACTTTACCGAAAAGTAGCCAAAAAATGTACACCTCCACTATCTTTCTTTTTTTTTTTTTTAATTTTTTGATTTTATTAATTTTTTAAATAAATAATAAAAATTAAATGAAACAAAAAAAATTATGTTAAATAGAAAATAATCAATAAAATAAGAAATATTCAATAAAAAAATTCAATAAAATAAAAAAAAATAGTTGAATCTCTTGCGCTTGGCTAAACGAAAAGTAGTAATTCATTAAAGTGTTTTAGTTGTTTTCAAAAGAGTTGTAAAAAAAAAGTAAAATAAATAACACAGATTTGTTACGATCCTTGCGCCGAAATAAAATGGGTACCTATTTGTAAACTTTCACCAAAATTTTCCCATAAACTGTTAAGAGAAATGGCCTGATTATTTTCGAGAAGAAAGTAAAAATAAATACTAAAAGTTTGCTAAAAATTCGCAGAAATCTAAGAATAGACTGTTATTTATTTACAGTGTGCTTAATCTAGTTGTAAAAAGCTTACTACGTATACTTGCTATGAAAATTCAAGTTTGCTTCATTTGTGTTTTCAGCTGAAACTTGCTGTGAAACGTCGGTCGCTGGAAAATACGGTTGCTGTCCACAACCCAACGCTGTCTGCTGTTCGGACGGACTTCATTATTGTCCACATGATACGATCTGCAACCTTGAAGAAGGCCGATGCGATGCCAAAAACGGTCTAGTACAACCATTGTTAATTAAGGATCCTCCAGCAGACAACATTAAGGCGGAAGTGATGGAAGTTGCCAACACAGTCGACATTGTTTACTGTCCAGGACGTCGTTCTTACTGCCAGGACGGATCTACTTGCTGTCCAACACGAAGTGGAGGATACTCATGCTGTCCTTACCAATCTGCTTCGTGCTGTCCCGATGGGATGCATTGTTGTCGTTACGGTTCTCGATGTGATTCGACCTCCAGTCATTGCTACAGAAGGGATCACCTTTATCAAGCTTTTATTAACACACCGGCTTTTACTGTGAATTGAATTGTTAATCGATTTGTTAATAGATGGTTTTGTATTGCTTATAGACTTTGAATAAAAATTAAAGATTGTTTTGTGCACAGAAATTTTGTCAAATTCAATTTCCAACTTTAAGTTCGTCAGTGTTTCGAAAAATTGAGAAATTGATTTTTAGAAGGGCCTGGGACATGCCTTTAGTATGCCTTTTTCGTTTTACTATTTTTTTTTATAAAATTTGTAGAACAAATTTTATGCAATAATTCTTAATTTCCTATCGATAAATAACAGCATTATATTCAAAATTTCTATGTTCCAAATTTCATACAATTGTCTTTCATAGTGTTTTGAGATTTAGGATGTGCCATAAGTCAAATATCAAGAAAAATATTCATTGAATCGGAATAATAATAACAGTAAAACATGTGTTTCTTACTATAAAAAAAAAATGCTTCCTAAAATACCAAAGTCAAACCCTCAACCTACGTGGAGAGTATTTAAAAATCTGAAGTTAAAGTATTTGAAGTCAAAGTATGAGAAAAAACATAATTAATTTTTGTCTCTTATTAATTGGGATAAAATATATTTTTCCCCATTTGAGAGAGAATTTATTTTTAATTTTGAAAATTAAAAGACAATGAGGAAACTTTTTTAGATACTCCCTGGGGTAAGTATATACAGTGTGACAGCTCCTTAAAGTAATTAGTTCTTAGCAATTTAGTGCGGTGGCTAGTAATCTGGAAATTTTAAGAGAGCGAGTTTAAGCTTGGCAGAAACAGACAGCCTGAAGCGTCAGAAGCTAATCATTCAATCAAAATACGATGAATCAGTTTTTCGTGTTAGTTTTTGTTTTCACGGAATTGTGAATATTATATATAAATTTAATGCTATTTATGTTTTATTGTACCTCTTTAAAGAATAAAATTCTCGAGTGTAACTTATTTTAATAGGCATTAAAATGAATTCGATTTTTGTTTTACTCACAAACATTATCCTATCTTGTCTAGGATATTTTATAACATTACATGCTATCCCAAAGTTTAAATATACGTTCCTTAAAGCTAATCTGAGTGGTTGCGATATGGGCAAGGGAAGTCATGAGAAAATGTAAGTTAATGGCATATTATTTCATTATATCTTGTTAGCCAGACTTTCTAAATATTTTATTCAATGAGCCGAAATTATTTATACGCCGATTTGTTTTAGTTCCTTTTATACAGTAATTAATACTGTGAATTTTTTCTTCTTATAAAAATGAGGGGGAAGTAAAAAACATGCGAATACAGAAGGACAGAAAATTATTAAGTAATTATTTTTGACCTTCAGAAAGAATAATTGGTATATTTCCTGATCTGCTACACCAACTACAATCGCCGTGGATATTTCCGTATCCTGATCTATGGCAGAATAATCGCTAAGTCTTGCAAACTTTCGGGCAGTGGCTCCCGGCTCAAACTCGTAGTCGCTCCCGGGCAAACATCTACAATTTTTTTTAAAAAAAATTTCAAATTTAAAATCTATTTGGCACCTTGGCGATTGTAGTTGGCGCTGCAGATCAGGATATGGAAAGATCCCCCAATCGCCAAGGTGCCTAATTGGTTTTAAACGAAAAAATGTTTAAAAAAACATAAACATGTAGATGTTTTCCCAGAGGTGGCTACGAGTTATATCCTTGAAGTTAGGGGGAGATTTCCATATCCTGATCTAGGGTAGAATATATGCTAAATCTTCGCAACTTCAGGGGAACAGCAGAAACTAAACAAAACATCACAGAAAGGGTATAACTCTTAGCCAACCTCTACATGATTTTTTAAAAAAATTTCATGTTTAAAATCTATTTGGCGCCTTGGTGATTGTAGTTCGTGTGGCAGATAATGATACTGAAATATTCCGGAGTTAGGTCACTTCCTGTTTTTTTTTTTTTTTCGTGGGCTGTTGTACGAAAGTTGCCAAGATTTGGCGATTATTCTGCCACAGATCAGAATGCGAAACTTTCCCCTTAGAGTTTCAGAAGGAATAATTTTGAAATTATTTAAGTTTTATAATATACAATTTTTTCTATGAAAATTGATTATTCTAATTTATCTCATTATTTTTCAGACCGGAAGCTATGGGGTTTGTTTGTGGACCAATTTTTCTTATAGTTATGTTTCTTTTCATTCCTGTTCCTTTTATACAATACTGGACCACTAATACAGCAAATGAATTTCCACATCATCAAGTAAATATGAATAAATGTTTAAATAAATAAATTTATTAATACTATTACTCTTTGTACAACTTTTTTTAAATTTGAATTTATTTACTAATACATAACATTATAATAAAATAAATGTTATAACGTTGAAATAAAAATACATGCTAACTATTTTTTTATGCTAGTACTCAATGTAATTTTCTTGTATTACTTGTTTTATATTAAAAAAAGCTGTACTTTTCAGTTAGCCATGTGCAAGCAAAAATTCGCCAAATGCTTTATACTTACACCAAAATTAAAATACTTCCAACCATTATAATTTATTATAGATATATATGGTTTTATATCGTACTAAGAAAGTGTACATCTATTTTGAAACAAATTAATAGCTTAACAACAGCATAAATGAAAGATCATGGTGGAAATAAATGTTATAATGTTGAAATAAAAATACATGCTAACTATTTTTTTATGCTAGTACTCAATATAATTTTCTTGTATTACTTGTTTTACATTAAAAAAAGCTGTACTTTTCAGTTAGCCATGTGCAAGCAAAAATTCGCCAAATGCTTTATACTTACACCAAAATTAAAATACTTCCAACCACTATAATTTATTATAGATATATATGATTTTGTATCGTACAAAGAAAGTGTACATCTATTTTGAAACAAATTAATAGCTTAACAACAGCTTAAATAAAGGATCATGGTGGAAAAATTTTTTGAAAAGTTAAAAATTTGTAATTAAATAAATTTAAATTAGAAATAATAATTTCTGTATGGAATAAAATATCCTAAATAGTTACAAATTTTGTTAGATCAGAAATCTAGAAGTGTAAATCAAATGTTAATACAACTAGGATTTAAACACCTGTTCTCTCAGTCAGAATGCAGATAGCTTAACCATTGCACCACAAATCAACAGGAACTAAAAGGTTTTATTGAAGTTTTGTTACTGAACTGAAACTTTAAAAAGGCATATTTTACCCCAGTTACAGCAGTAGGGGCAAATTTTTTACCCTATTCAAGACTAAACTGTGCTCTTTATTTTAAATTTTAATTTCGTTTCTTTGTATGCTTTTTTTTGTGAATGAACAGTTTTATTTTGGGTAACTGTCTTTCTGTTTTGGGTACTTTTGAAAGTAGTTCTGGAACATTTCCTGAAAAAATATTTGGTGGAATTTGATTAACTGAAAAATATCAAATATGTTTTTTTTTGGATACAATTAACTTTTAAAATTTCTTTATTTGATATAATGCATAATATAGTTTCTTTGTTTTTTTAACAGATTGTGTATTTTTACTTTGAAAAATAACCCAAAATTCTTACTATGGCAAAGGAGATTTATTGTCATTAAAAATTTCAACCTTTTTTCAAATTTATAACTAAAGTGCTCCAATCTCAACTTGAGTTCTGTGTTTGGTGTTAATAGAAATTTTAATTGTTGTGAAATTAAAATTGAAAAGAAAGTCCAAATATTATCTTTTTTCAAATGAAGATAATTTATTTTTGTTCCACTCGAAACAAGGTGAAATCGATTTTAAAAAAAAGTGGGACGTATCGCTATAAATTTCTATCAGTATTTAACATGCCTTCTGTGTTTAATATTTAAAGTCTGACAAAAACACAATTATTTTCTCTGTTTTAGTTTGCTAAGAAAACATAGTTTTCAAAATTTATAAAATTTTATTATTTTCTTAAATTAAAAAAACTGAACATCTTTTAGTCTAGCTTAACCGAAAATTGGGTCGAATGCACCTCTTTCAATTTTTGAAAATGTTGTCAACTTTGATGTAGCATCATATCAAGAAGCTAGTAAAACCAATAAATTAAAACTCGATAGTTTAGCTACAAAAACTCCTTTGAATAAAATTTGTTGGGGTGAGGCGTGTGTGTTGGAAGTACCAAAGTTTTACCTGGTAAGGAATCAGTTTTTGCATTTGCATGCATCAACTAATGTTATTTCTTTGTTTTACACTTTTTGTTGATTTTAAGCTAAATTGCAAATGGGATAAAAAAATGACCAAAAAAAAGAAGGTATTTTTTTAAAATAAATATTCAAGTCTAATTACATTAAACTATTTTACAAGAATTGTTATTTTACTTATTTCTATGTTAATGTTTTTAAAATTAAAATAAGTAAAAGAATTCTTAGATTTAAGTTTGAAAAAAAAAAACTTAATTCTGTGTTGTAAACTGATATATTTTTATTTTAGTTTGTACAGTTTGTTGCTGCATTGCTTTCCATTTGCTTCATGCTCGCTTTGGGCTTCGCAGATGACGTTCTTGATTTAAGATGGAGGATTAAACTTTTATTTCCTACTGTTGCATCATTGCCACTCCTAATGGTGTACTATGTTACTTATAATGGGACTACTGTTATTATTCCTAAGCCTGTTAGATTCATTTTTGGAAATGATGTTTGGCTTGGTAAAAACTTTCATATGCTTTATTTTATATGATATATTATACCAAATTAAAAATTATACACAATTTAAAATTCAATGAAAGAAAAATAAAACGAGATAGAAATGTGTGGGTTGCTGTGTTTTGCTTAAGGAACCAAAGTTTTAAATTTAGTTACTAAAACCAAGCCATTTTAAATTTAGTTACTAAATTTGTACTAATAATAAAAAACTATTAAAAAGTGTTTTCACATTAACCACAATTTGAATCATCAATTCGGTACAGTCTGAAGACAAATTTAGCTGTCTCCTGTGCAAATATTTCTGTTTAAATGGCCTGGTAGATACCACAGGACATTGTTTTATAATTTTCCAATTAACAGCATCAACTGTTGAAGAACTTATAAATTTTAATATTTCGTGAAAATAAATTCTCTTATTTCCTAATGAGATATAGCAAATTGTACATTTCTATTTCTTTCCATTTTTCGTTAATTGTTTTTTTTTTAATTGTTGGTACTTTTTGGGATACCTGGTATGATATTATAAAATTATATATAACAAAAATATTGTGTTCATTTTTTAAAAATTAATACTTTGAACAGAAGAGAGTTGGTTATTATGTTTTTTAACTCCTGAATTGTTCAAGAGCTCTATCGGACTTATGGTTTACAGAAATTTTTTTAAGGAAAAATATTAACTAATAATGAATAAATGTTAATTTCATAGTTTCTATTTTTTTATGTTCCATTAGGATTAAATGCAGTGTTTGATTTAAAGTTAAATATTGTTCTACTATAGTTAAAGAAATAAATTTTAATATTTATTTATTTATTTTGCAAACTATTGAAATTTGCTAAACAAGTTGGAAAAGGAGCAAGAGGGAAAAGATTTTGATCTAATTCTATACAGTAATAATTCTATGCAAATTACACAAATTCTATACAGTAATTTTGTAATTTAAATCTACTTTAATCTTAAAACTAAGCTATTTAGCTATATTAAGTTAATTTTATTCAAAAATTGGTGAGATAAAAAGCTTTTTAAGTTAAAATAAATATGCTTTAGTAATAAGCTTAAAATCTTGCTTGTCACATTGCTTACAATCAGCTGTGCTTGCAGGTTTACTGACTCGAAGAGGAAAAAAAAAACGTTTCTACCAATATAATATTTCTTTAAATTAACAATTTCTAACCACTTCCATTTTTGCTATGCGATTGATCCAATGTGTTGATTTGAGCCAGTGTGTGACTTGCAAGTGACAGATTTTACTTTTTTTTTAACTATAACAAACCTCATATAATCTATAACAGCCTTTTCATTTTCTTTAATTAATTCAATTCTTTAATTAATTCTTTTCTTTAATTTCAATTTCTAAATTATTTTAAAATAATTCCTTCTTAAATGAGAAACAGATTTTTTTCTTCCTATTTATATAAACTTATGAATCTTCGAATTCTGTGTACGTTTTATCAAAAAACAAAGTTTGTATATCTGACAAAAAATGTTAGATAAGCAATGAAATTATTGTAAAAATGTTGTTCTTTTATGAAATTAAGTTTGTATAGATTCAAATATTAAGCGTTAGTAGAAAATATTTATTGAATAAAATAATTTTTTTATTATAGTAACCTATGTAGTCACTTAAATGAATTCATATGATAATAAAATAAAAATATCTGTAATTTTTTTTAAATGAATGTATCTCTAAATGTTTTGATTTTGTTACAACAAAACTTTTTGCATAATAAGATAATAATTACACTCTAATTTTATAGAGGTCATGCAAAATTATACTAAACATTTAACATTATATACATCATTAAACTTACATTACTTCAATAACTTTTAATATCTATTAATATGTTTATTCTTGTCTTTGAATCTAATATTTCAGGTCCATTGTATTATGTGTATATGGGGATGCTTGCAGTGTTTTGCACAAATGCAATAAATATATATGCTGGAATCAATGGTATAGAAGTTGGTCAATCATTTGTGCTTTGCAGTTCAATTATAGTTTATAACTTTATTGAGCTATCTGGTATGATACTTTGCTATTATTATATAAGAAAAGTATTAATCTACTTAATTATTTTTAATAAAGAAAATTATGTTTTTTGTAGGTGACTGTGGACCTGCTCATATTTTTTCACTCTATTTTATGATTCCATTTTTGGGCGTGTCTTTAGCGCTTCTTCGTTTTAATTGGTGAGTTAGTTGTGTTTGTGTCTATGATAAAATTTTTTTATAATTTATATATAATAATCTGATTTTAGTAGGATTTATTTTAAAAGTAAATTTGTGTTTGCTTTTTTAATTTTAAAACATTATATTTTATTGTTGAAGATTTTGATATGAGTTGGCAATTAAAAATTATGAATTTTAGAAATCATATTTTAAAATTTTTAATTTTTGGAAACCAATCGAGCCAATTTCTTTTAACCTTGTCTTAGCTAATGTAATGCATAAGTTTTATATGATTTCAGGATCTCAAATTCTACAAACAATATGAAATGTATATTTTTCATTGTTAAAAGTAAACCTATCAGTACCAAAATAATAATAAAAAGAAATTTTAACTAAGAAAAATTATAATTTTTAATAATTCTTCCATCAGCATGACAGCCTAGTATGAACCAGAGTCGTTCCAACAAGTCCTTTCTATCTAGCTCGATTAGACGCGAGATTTCTTCATGTATTGATACCCATGGTATCATCTTTGGGATACCTGAACTGGGATTGTTTACAAGATAGAGTAGTCAACCCCCACCCTGGAGGACCAGTGTGTTCCTCCTGGTCTGGTGTCTCCTCTTTGTCCGGCTTGGTCGATCTTTCTCCCATCGGCGTAGCTCTGGGGTCGACAATATGCACTAACCACAGCACTGTAATAAGGTGGGAATACCGTTGCTGTGGTTTTTAATAACTAGCAATTCATTCTCAGTCCGTTGCGGATGAAAACGCCATTTGTTTCACATGATTCAAAATGTCATGATTTTCTACAATTGTCAAAAACAATGCCAAAAGGTATATATATATATTTTTTTTTTGACATGGCAGTTAAACAAGATAAAACCGTCAATTGTCAAAAACTTTCCAACCCTGCCTAATTATGATATTTTTTTAAAGTGCTTAAAAATATTTTCTGAGTGCTTGAATTAGCTTAAAAGGTGCTTATTTTTTGTTGAATAATTTGGCTACGCACCCTGGATAAGATATGAGCTTAATATTTAAATTTATTTTACATTCAAGAATTTTTTTTGAAAATATTGTAATTTTCATGTCTTGCGTAAGCATTGCTGGTAACACATAAGCACCTTCCTAGGTGCTTATATGTAATTTGAATGACCCTTTATGTACTAATATTTTTATGTTTATTTGAAGGTTTGGTTGTGGTACATTACTAATCATTTTTTATATTGGATGTACTAATCATTTTTTTATAATTAATGTAAATTTTATGTATTTTTTTGTTACTGTGAAAATAATGTTTTGTAATGCTGTTATAAATTTAAGAAAATTTAAAGCTTTTTATCTTACTGAACCTAAACTTTTAATCAAGGCATTTTTTAAAAAAAAAATTACTAAAAGAGATCAACTGGTATTCATTAAGCTGGTTCTCAAAAGTAAATGTTGCATATATAGGTCGGAGATAATCTTGAAAAAAATTATTAATTTTATTGTTAATATCTATTTCTTTTTCCAGTCCTGTATCAAATACAATACTGGCTGCTTCAATGTTCTTTTGGCTTTATTCCCAATCTTAAATTTTAGTATAATTGTTTGGTAATTTTGTTTTAATATTGTAGGTACCCTGCCTCTGTTTTTGTGGGCGACACTTATTGCTACTTTGCTGGGATGACGTTTGCTGTGGTTGGAATATTGGGACATTTTAGCAAAACTATGTTGCTATTTTTTACACCTCAAATCATAAACTTTCTATTTTCATGCCCACAATTGTTTCACTTTGTACCTTGTCCTCGTCATAGGCTTCCCAAGTAAGTTTATGCTGTTGTAGCATAACTACAACTACAATTATTCAATTACAATTTACTAGTATATTGGACATGTTAACTCGATTTTATCTGGGGGTACATCTTCATAGATGAGGTTTGACATCGTCGGTGGCTTTGCCTCACATTGATGACTTTTGAACGTGATCTAAACACGTATACCTTGACAGAAACGCCCACGACGATACGAACACGCCTATTTTGATGGATAAAACCCAGTTTACTTGTAACTCCGACAGTATCATTCTTACGCTGTGGCGGTCTCAATCTCACACAACCGCAGCCTATACACACTTGACTGCTAATAGCAACACGAGTATTCACACCCATAACTTTGATCTGAATACAGTTCTCGGAATCAGCCCTCAAAGATTGGTGATTTGAATACATCTCTTCCGGCCTCTTGCAAAACATCAATGAATCAACTAGTGTGGTCTATCACAGATAAAATTCTGGTGGGGGAGTAAAGTAGCCTAACTACCACTATAATTATTCAATTCCGATTCACTAATATAAATGACTTGTTAATTCATTTCTTGCTGGAGGTACTTTTTCATAGATGACGGTTGACATAGTCAGTAGCCTAACCCTTCTATATGCAAGCATGTCTGGATAATTTCTCAGGAAATTTATCTTTTTAACTGTTACATTTAAATATTTATTTTATTAGTTTATTTCACTGTTATATTTAAACATATTGTAATGTTTCTCCTAGAAATTAGTTAAATTTTTCCTCCTAATGGTTTTGCTTTCTTTTCGGAGTTTACAATTATTTTAAATGAAAAGTTTTTACTATATTCTGCTCAGCAAAAACTGATTGCAAAAGTATACAAATCTACCTGATACTTAGCATTATTGACACCAAGACTCTGATAAACAAAGCTAATCTGACCATTATAGTCTGTAAGAAAAGAATCGCTGACTCAGCAAAGAACCTTTAGAAGTGGGTAAAGTTGGCTATAAACTGCAAATCTTTTTGTTTACATTCTCTACCAATTCTCGCTGAATAGATTATAGATTGATATATGTTTGAACAACTTAAATGTATGAGTGATATCAATGTCTTTCTCCTTACACCAAATTTTGTGTCAGACCTGTTTAGAAAGCCATTTGATTTCGTTACATTGATTGCATGTGTAAAGTTGTTAGTATTTGACATACTTTAGCTGCTATCAGCTCTTATGCGAATGAACTCTACATTCAATCGATGTTTATAATCACCTTTACTTTTTCGGCAATGTAAATAGGATCACGCATGAGCCAAAAAAAAAAAAAAAATGCTTAAAAAAATACTGAATTTGTATTGTCAGGGTGGCCACAAAACAGTGAAATGTCATCTATCGGGGAAAATCAGGGAAATATTGATTAATTTATTTAAAATACCCAAAAAGTAAGGGAAAATAGAATTGAAGTACCTAAAAATCCCAGTGATGCCACTCGTGTGTCTTCGGACGTTAAATATGCAGAAAATTTTACAGAGGATGTGAGAAAAAGGCTATAACACATTCCCGAAACATGGAATTCTTTATTAAGAAAGATAGAGGGGAAAAAATAGCCCGCCAGCAGATTTATGTGGGCAAAATTAAGCTAAACTTTTCTTCCTGTAATAAAAGGAAAATAATTTTAAGGCAGATTAAAGTAGAAATTTTGGTTTCATTCTTTGTTGAATTTATTACAAAACGATTAATAATTTCATTTTTTCCTAATCATAAAATACTTATTTTTAATGTATATCTTTAAAATAGAGAATTGCATTATTTTAAATAAAGACCCACATTGAGTAGAAAAGGGTCTTGAAATTCGGAAGTCCTGGGTCCTAAGGTATCATAGCATGCAAAGTCTAGCAGAATCACTGACTCCATGTTTTTTTTTTCTTTTTTAAAAAATTGGTCTTATAATAGTGTTTCTTTGAAAAAATATTTTCCAACTCTACTAGTAATTATAACGTTCTATTAATGCTTTATGTTAACGAATAAAGCATGATTGAAAAATTTATGCATAGGGTTACAAAAATCTGGGACATTCAATTAAATCAGTATCGAAAAAATCAGAGAATTTTTTTGTGACCACCCTGATTGTACTACTTGTACAAATTTAAATAACAATGGAATAATATATTTATTAAATTATTAATGTAACCTATTAATTATTAATGTAACCAACCTATTATATATTTCCTGTTAGATAATAATTTTATATTTTCTTATGAAGATTATTTTCATCGAAATTTGTAAGTCATTTCTCAATCACTACAGTTAATCAAGTGTAGATTGTAAAACGGATGCTAAATAAATAAAAGTTTTCCATTCTAAATAGGTCTCCATTTGAAATTTTTTAAAAATGTATGTTGTGAACCATTATTTTATGTTCCCCCCCCCCCTCGTGGTATGTAAGCTTTACTACCTAAATTTTAGATGCAAATAAATAATTTATATGTGTATTTTTTAAACATAGGTTCAATAAAGATAGAAATGTGATGGAACCTAGTACTGTTATATTTAAAAAGTCCTCCCTATCCACGTTGGGCTGCTTTTGTATGTGGGTAGCAAGAACATTTAAGCTTGTGTGTTATAAAGAAGAATTTAAAGACAACGAATTGTATTGTGAAACTTCAAATTTTACTATAATTAATTTCATGCTAAAGATTGCTGGTCCAACTCATGAAAAGACTTTAACTACTTATTTGCTTTCATTTCAAGTGAGTGGCAGCTATATTTCCAAATATTTAACTTATAATATTATATATTTCATTCTCAGAGTTAGACTACATTTGTAGTTTAATTTACAAATTATTAATATTTTTCTTTGTATATTTCAGGTACTTTGCAGTTTGATTGCTTTCAGTATCAGATATGGACTTTCAATAGTTTTTTACGGCGCCTAAAATGGCCAATTGATTCTATGTGTAAAATTTTATGAACTTCTGAATCATGCATTTAAAATGCAAGCTGTCTAAATAATTGCCTTTTCTTTACCAGATATTTACTTAATTTGTGTTATAGTTGAGTTTTATTATAATAATTACTATTTTTGATATCTTGATTTATTCATGACACATTTGATTCATTCATTTTTTTCCCTTTAAAATTTGCAACTTAGTAATTGATAATTTACTATCAATTCTAATTGTGAAATTTATGAGCTTCTGAAATATGCATTTAATAAGCTATCAAAATAATTAACCTTTTTGTTTCCATATCTTTACTTAATTTTTTTGAGGCAGTTCAGGGTGGTAACAAAAAATATTAACTATAATTCTTTTTTTTTAAAGATTGATCAAAGTTAACTTAGCATTGTGAAAAACATATATTGTTATTAATGTCTATAATGAAATACTTAATATTAAAGATAACTATTTCTGTTAGCAATATTTTATATTGAATGTTTGAATTCAACTTAGTATAAAATTATCTTTAATAATTCATAAGATTTATTATTAATGAAATGAAAAATTTTTTTAGTTGATATCTATTAAATGACATAAATTTGTATCAGTTTTGGAATAAATAAATTTTTAGACTTAAAAAGCCTCTAACCAAAATAAGTATTTTTTTTCTTCTGACTTCGCTTGTTTGAATAAAATTCCCAGTACTTATTGAAATTTTTTTCCCTTCAAATTAATAAAATTTCTCATTCTGTGGCACCATCCGATGAAGTTTTTTATACCTTAATTAAGTGAACATGAAATATTTTAACAATTAAATTTTTAAACTGAAAGATATGTTTAAATCACAATTTTGGAAACTTTTTAATTCTTATTCATTATAATTTACAACTTTTTAATTTTAAGCTTTCTAGTCAATTAAACATGTAAATATTTTCCAGTCTACATTAGTTTGTAATTTATAATTGAGAACAAACTAGCATCTTATACTGCCAAGTCATTAAAGATGACATATTACATTTGTAAAATATAATTAGTTAAATTAAAAAATTACTTCTTATTTGTACATATATTATGTATATTTGTATTTTACTTTATAAATAACTTTGAATGAGTCCTTAATATTTTTGTAAGTAGAGATGTTTATAAACATCAGGTATTGTAATACATTAAATCATTATATTTCATCAGTTGTGTTTAACATTTATTCAGGCCTCATCAAGTGATCTTTTAGTGTTGTCTTTGTTTTATTGATTTTCGATTATTCTTGTTATACAACTCTACAACCTTCAAATTTTGAACAAAATTCTGGATTAAGAATAACTTCTTTGTCAAGCATGAGGACCTTTAGGAAGAATTTTTTTGAATACTTCTACTTTATTACTAGCACAACAGTAATTGGACTGCATAAATGTAGTTCTGCACCATACGGGCCTATTTTCTTGATTTGTAAAGATTGGGAGCTCATATATTTAGCCTGATAGCATAACCTATTTTAAAATTAAGCACTATATATCTTTAGCCAGACTGGCCTATTTTGTCGATTTTTAAAGAAACACGTGAGCAGCTAAATTGATGTACAGTACACTAGCAGTCACTGAAACATACTGATTTGTCAGAAACATTTAAGTGAGTGTATCAATGTGCGGAGAAAATTAAAAACTAACTGTTAGTAATGTTTTTGAAAGGAAATATAAAGAAAACTCATTGCTTACTTTTCAATTTTTTTTTAACATAATGATTTTACATAAAATAATGATTCTATGTCTTTTTATAAATTTCACTTTTAGATTTTTAGTTTTTCCTGGATGCTGGTATGGAGGATGGATTTAAATCTTAAAATATTAAATATCCCCATCTAAGTAAGAAAAAGGTTCCAAAATCAAAAGAAAAATTTATTTTCCCTGTCTAGTTATATTTTACTGTTTAAAGATTGATTATTTCATTGCTTGGAAATATAAATACATTAATTAGAAAGAAAAGAAAAATAACTATTCTTCAAAGATGTTGTAATTAATATCATTGGATAATCTTATGAAACTTTTTAGTTTTCTTAACCTTTCTCTTTAGATTCAGTTCTGTAAAATAATTGGACAATCTAATAATCATTAGTTATTTGTAACTGATAAGTAATAGATAACTTAATTTTCTGCATTAAAAATATATCTTTTAAAGGAAAAAATAACTGGTTGTTGGAAAATTGTTGCAAGAACAAGCAGGGCTGCCAACTACAACGCTTTTTGCAAAATATTACATAAAGTAGTAGACAATTAAAAGCAAATGCTTTCAGAAGTTTAGATAATTTTACCATATTTCAAAATTATCATGAGAGAACTGGAACAAAATGGCATTTTATGTGAACTTTTGAATCAAATTTACAAAACAAAGAATCATAACATATTCTTAGCTATCACTAGCAGAAATTTCCCCCCAAAATGTAGAAAGTTGGCAGCCATGTAACAATTCTATATTGAGAAATAACATTTTATTTTATCTTATAAACGCTGTTGAACAGTCGACCAAAATTTGGGTTTACGACTACTAATGTTCAACTCTGTAGCCTTGTAATTTTTCACTCAATCCAGAAAACAAGGTAACTCTTTGATCAAGTATTGGGACACATTTGCCTTAGAAGACTTTTTGATGGAACCAACCAGCCTTGCGTTACATGGACAGGAAGACCTCCCACGGTTATCCTGACGGCAAGGGGACTCTAACTCATGATCCGTCTACCACTGAGGATATTTCACTATTTCCCGGCAACACTGTGGTCGGTGCAAGCTGGATGCGGAATTTGCATCAACCAGTTATCACTGTGATTCGAACCCAGTTCAGCTCATTGGAAGGCGAACACTCTATCCCAGAGCCATCGTAGCTCATTTCAAGTAATATTGTAGAGATTCAGAAAATCAGTCTTAGAAAAACATTTGAAAAAGTAACAATAAAAAAAGCAAAAGTGATATTTTAGAGATTGAGAAAATCAGTTTTAGACTATATCAAAACATTAAAAGCTGATAAAGCATCTTTTTGCAATAAAAACCTATAGAATAAAGTAATATTCTATACTCTACAAAACTCTTCAATTATTTCAGTAACAATAAATAAAAACATTGTATAAAATACTTTAATTTACATTTAAAATCATACATCAATAAATGCCTATACAGTTCCGTGATATTTATGTTGGCTATGATTTTTAACAATATTAGAAAACATGTCACGGCAGCTGTGATTTAAATTGACAGATAACATTTTCAGAGAGTCTTCTGTACATAAATCAAGTACTCTATTAATACCAGATATTAAATGAACCTGAAACAAAATTAAAAAAAAATATATATATGTCTGCATAAATTATCTTGATTCATATTCTGATATTTCTATTAACATTTTTTTAACCATTGTTTGAAATTGTTATGGATAAAAACAAATAGTAATTTAATAACGAATGTGCAAAAATAAAAATTGTTTTACCTTTATGCTAGAATCTAGAGTAATATCTTGAATACTGTCTAAATAATCAGCAACAAGGTAAGGTACTAGTTTGGATAATTCTATTTTATGTCTGGTGAGAACTGTCAAAAGTCTGTAAAGAATAATGAGCTGATTATAACAAGATAGGAATATTTGACAGACGATAATAATACATAAATCTGATAGTGAAAAAATTTAATCTTAAAATTCCTCTCTTTTTGACACCTTCGTTTAAATTTATTATTCTTTCTTTAATTTTTTTAAACAAAATTATGATAATAAAATATCAATCATTCAAGAGCACAATATGTTCTGAAAATATAGAAAATAAAGGATTTTCTTTATATTGCATACAAATTGGTCTATGTAAATTTTAGAACTTGTATATATTTTTGTTGGATAGTAAAGACTTTGGATACATAATTTATTTTAACAAAATTAACAATCTTCTTTAAAAATACATAATATTTTTTTTTAAAAATACAATTTTATTTCTTATAACGTAAAAACAGGACTATAAAAACCTTTCAAAGATCAGGAAAATCATTACAATGATTTAAATCAGTTAAAATGTAATCATAATTTTTTTTAATTACTATATCTGAATATAATCATTTAGACTAAAGATACCCAAATTTAATATTGCAGATCTAATTTAGTAAATTAAGTATAGTTTAATGGAAACATTTGTCTCAACGCATTTACTTTTTAATTAGTGCTTAAAATATTACAATCAACTCAACTATACTATACCACTCCCACAAGTCAGTGAGAACAGGGAAATACTGAAACTGTCAGGGGAATTTTATTTTAACTTTAAAAAGAAGGGAAAGTTGTAATTTTTAACAAAAAACTTGGGAAATTCTTATATCATACCTGGAAATAATTCTAATATTTAATTACAATTATTTTATAAAATTCACTTTTCCATGTTTCCATTCTCATTATATTATGTTTTTGCTCATAAAATCTATTTAACATTACTAATAAAAAAATTCAAAGTTTTCTAATTTTATGGTATGGATTTTCATTGAANTTTATTCGATTAACAAAACAATAATGAAGATAAACAAATTTGTGAAGGGTCCAATTAAAAGAAAAATCATTTTGTGAAGGGTCCGTTTTAAAGTTAAAATATTTTGTGAAGGGTCCGTTTTTATGAAAAGATATTTTGTGAAGGGTCCGTTAACGAACCCAAATTTCTTCTAAACTGACCTTTGATTATAATCAACTCAACTATTCCCTATACTATATCAACTATACTCGGGGCTCCCACAAGCCAGTGAGAACAGGGAAAACCTGAAATTGTCAGGGGAATTTTATTTTAACTTTAAAAAGCAGGGAAAGTTGCAATTTTTAACAAAACCCCTGAGAAATTCCTATATCATACCTGGAAATAATTCTAATACTTAAATACAATTATTTTATAAAATTCACTTTTTCAAATGAAACTTTTCCATGTTCCCATTCTCATTATATTATGTTTTTGCTCATAAAATCAATTTAACATTACAAATAAAATAAAAATTCAAAGTTTTCTAATGAAACATCAAATGGTATAGATAAAATATGGTATGGATTTTCAATGAAATATACCGGATCATGAAATACATTTCATTGAAATACCTGGAAAAGTCTAGGAATTTTTTTCTGAAGTTTAGTGGGTACCATGTCTATTTATCTATTCCATTTAATTTAAAAATATTTTATACTTATAATTGAAAATTGATTGGAAAATTCAAAGCATGTTAAAAATTATACCTATCCATATTTTGAGCACACAGCTGCAGTTGATGTTGGCTATTTTTATCACAGGTGGAGATGGTATCTTGAGATCCTGATTTCACAATGGATTTTAAGAGCAGTATAAAATTAAGGCAAAATTACACTTACTTTTCCCATATTATATAGATAGAAAATAAGATAATGCTCCATATCAAAATTTTTAAACATCAGCACAGTTCAAAAGGGCAAGTAAAAAAACAATTTTTTGATTGTTTTAAGTTTGTTAGGCAATTTATGAAATATCTAGTGATATTTCATAACTAAATATAACAGAAATAGGGGAATCAGCAATTTCCAACCCATGGAACATGAGCCTGTCGTGGGCAACGTCTTGGCTGTTGATGAATTTAGTATCATTCTGAACTATGTGAAAGAGTAAAATATGAGCCGTGATATTTTTATATTATATGACGATAGAAATGTTCTAATGAATCAATATTTCCCCTAAAACAATTTAATTGAGACAATTTTTCATTAGAGTAAATTTAACTTTATATTGTTGATATTATACAATGTATCTGTTAAATCTAGAGTTTTTAAATCCATGACTTACGCAGGTTACTATTCAATATAGTCAAAAGAAGATCGTAATGAGGCAACTTTTTTCCTTAAAGATATTCTTGTTTTCTCTGAGCAATGCGTTGCATATTTTTTTTTAATAAACCAATTTAAACAGAAAGCAATAAAAAAGAACTGAACTATTAAATAAACAGTAAATAAAAACCCCAGCAGTTGAAAGTAACTAACATACAAACTAGAATATTTTAAAAATATTTAATAATGTCCGTTAAGAACATTTACAAGGATGGAATTTTTTTAATCTGATAAAATTCAAATATGGATCACAATGTGTGATGTTTTTAAATCACACAAATGCGGATCGTGATGAAAGATTTTTCAATCGTACGAATGAGGATCACGATGTGTGATTTTTAAATCGCGCAAATACGGATTGCAATTTGTAATTTTTAAATCGTGATCTGTGATTATAAATTCGCACATTTATTCGAATATTTTAAAAATATTTAATAATGCCTCTTAAGAACATTTACAAAGATAAAATTTTTTAATCTGATAAAATTCAAATACGAATCACAATGTTTGATTTTTAAACCACACAAATGCAGATCGTAATGAAGGATTTTTGAAATGTGCGAATGCAGACCACGATGTGCTATTTTTAAATCATGTCGATACAAATGGTAATATGGGATTTTCAAATTGCCAGACAGGATTAAGGGCTCCAATGCCCCAAATTCATCATTAACTGGGAGTTTCCACGATATTTTTTAGTATTTATCACTGAAAATCATGACTTTCCATGACAATTTTCGATCAAGGTCGAAATCATTGGATTTTTAATGACTTTCCAGGTGTGCGGATACCCTTATTATAGAAAATGATACTTATTTAACCTTCACACAATAAAGTGGGGTCTATTATGAACCCCACTTTAACTTAAGACAAAAACATTGCATGGTAGATCTCTATAACACAATTCTATAAACCATAAACTACATTAATTTTGCAATCTCTTAAAGCGAGCATAAATTGATAAATTTGTTGGATTTCACTTGCTCTTGATAATGCCACATGTTTCAATGTTTGCATTATAAAGATCTTATACTGTAAAATATAAGTAGTATTAATTATTAATCAAAAGGATATTTGAAACAAATGATAAATATGCAGCCCTTGATGATAGAACAATACCAGGATGGTGTAGCAAAATATCATAAACAATATTCCAAATAGCTGTAAAAGCTTTTGTGAAATCTAAAACATTGGGTCCCATATGATCTAGTTTCACACTTAGGCAGGAATGAAGACATGGAATAAGGCACTGTTTTGGAATACAAGACTAGGAAAGAAAAAAGAATATTATCTCACTGTCAGTTACAACGTACAACAAATTTGAAATAAATAAATAAGAAATTCAATTTGATTAACACTATTAAGAGTTTAAAAGAATTATTTAAGACAGCTGAAATGAAAAAATAAATAAATGTTACACTGAGTTTGTAGAAAGATTGCAAAATAAAAATTATAAATGGCAAGTAAGTGAATAAACTGAAATAAATTTGAAGTTAGATTAATGACTCTTTTTTTCAATGTTTTTCTGAGAACTTAGAATAGAATATAAAATATATTATTGAGAATATAAAAGAAAAGTTGAAACCATAAAAGAAAAAACATATTATATTATTGGATTTGTAAACTAAATGGAAAATAAAGATTATAAATGTCAGTTTAAATAAATTTCTAAAAACTGAATTAAATAGTTGTAATTTGAATCTCATTATTCATTCTTAACAGAATATAAAGGCTATGTCTTCTTTTTTTTATTTTTGTAAAGAAAAATGGATAATACAATATGAAGTAGTTAAAAGCTGTCAGTAACAATTCAAGATTCCATAAACAAAAAAGTAAAATAAATTTTTCAACAGCTATTAAAAGGAATATCTCTATATGGTTAAGATAGAGCATAAAAGCTTGGATTACTTTGTTGCATTATAGAGTAGTTTTAAAAAATAATAATTACCGGCATTATAAGCAATATACTTACAGATCGTTTCTTTACAAGGAAATGTAGAAATTCAAACACAGGGATTTTTACCATGTACAACAGATATGGAGACTGGCAGAGTTGATTCATTATGTAATGAAGATGAAATAACAACTAAAAAAATAAAAAATAATGTAGGCAATATTAAATCATAGACTTATGGGGAAAAAATGGAAATCCTCTGCAAACTATTGCAGAGTGTCATATTAAAGTTTTTAGGTATAGGTAATTACAAGATTTTAAACGCCAATAAAATTTAAAAAAATTATAATATGCTGATAAATATAAATCAAATTAAGATGCACTGTTTGTGGTGGTATATATATATTTACTTATATGTGTTTAAAGAAAAGGTTTTAAAAATATTACTAATAAATAACACTTCCCTCACTATACAGATGTCATTTGCACCCATCGAAGAAATACCATTAATTTAAGATAACAGCAATCAAATAAACATATTATTCTATAGTAGAGGAGGTACGTTGGTAAAACATAAATATGTTAGTAATAGTTAACACAACACAATAATAAATAATTGTCAGAACTTTCAATTTAAAATGATATACATTCTAATATATTCAATAAATAACAAATTAAACTCATATTTTTTTTCAATAATTAATTAGTAATTAGACAACTATATAAGGGCTCAAACTTAGATACAGTAATAAATAGTAGACACAATCCTTTGTTTGAACATTGTTGACCTTTTTTTTCTAATGAAGAAAGTTAAAATATTCTTATTCTCAGTGGGACAAATCATGGGTTAGAATCCCCTTGCCACTGTGCTAACCGAGGAAGGTTTTTCTGGTTTAGCTCTCCATGTAATGCAAATGTTGGTTAGTTCTATGAAAAAGTCTTTCTTGAAAGCTAGTTTCTTTCAATGATTTATTCAGTAGTTCCCTTGTCTTCTGGGTTGGTGGGTTCAAAATGACAAGGTTACAGAATTGAACAGTGATAGTCATTAACTTAGAATTATGTTGGCTGTTCAATGCCAGTTATAAAATGAAATAAAATCTTCTTGATACTCAAAATGGATATATATATATATATTGTTTCTAATAAATTGTACAATTAATTACTGATGGAAGAAGGTGGTCATTATAAGTGGTGGATCAAGTTTTGCGACATCCTCATAAATTGAAAGCGAATATTGAATTCAGGTAAAATTCTTTTTAAAAATTTTTTGCATCTCCTCTTCAGCATAAAATAGTTGACAAAATGGAGATACACAACACTGCTCTTATATAAATTAATTTGTCCCACTAAATTTTATTTCAATACAAAAAATATTTGTTATTCTATCAATAAAATCATTATTGCATTGCAAATTTAAATTCCCAAGCAAGTAATATAATAAGTAAGCTTTCATTTGGGCAAATATTTTTTGCAGGAACTTCCTTTAAGAAGTTTATTTTAACAAAAAACCAGGATAATCTTGATTACATCAAAAAAATTGGAGAAAACTGAAAAAAATCTAGCAGTCTATTGAAAATTCCATAGACTTAGTAGCTGTGTTAAAGAAAGATTGTATTAATAACATTAGAGAGAAACAACTACATATCATAAACTTACATTGGTGAGAGACTGAGATGAGAGTGGTACTTCTTCCTTGTTTGTGCATGATTCTATTAAATGTTTTAAAATTTCTATATTCATTTGAAGAGATGCTGGGTCTAGTGACTGGATGTTGATTTTTGCCTAAAATAAAAGAATATGAAACTAAACAATTTAAAATGATAAGTTAAAGTTTTTATAAATATGCCCAGCAGTCAGATACAGTTGCATAGTTACATGTCAGATACAGTGGCGTCAGATACATGTGTGTTACATATGTATATTTAAACATTTATTTATATTTTAAACATAACTTTAAACTTTTTTATATTTACATCCTACTTACCGTACAATAATTTGTCAACCAGGAAATGTTTAATTTTGGTGGAGGTTTTGTCCCTTAAACCCTCCCAAAAAATATGAAACTGGTAAGATATAATGTGTTACGAGTAAAGAAACTATCGTAGCCGTAGTAGTTTTTTTTTAAAGAACTAAAGTGAGCAGTTTAATACAAAAAACTATTAATTTTTATTGATTCCTGGTAACTACTTTTAATGTTAAATTAGTAAGGGTTCAAACATCAGTAATTCCAGTACTATTTTGAGTCAGATTAATGCAAATGTTAGATAAGTCCACCAGTGGAACATATTTTGCTATACCATTCCCAATGTACATTACTATTCAGTGAAAATTAGAGAGTTTTGAACAAAAGACAAAATTAAATGATCTGATAATTTCTTGAAAAAGGTTTAAAAAGTTTAATGCCAGAAGAAAAAGTTTGAAAAATGGTTTAAAATAATAAATTGGCTCATAAAAACAAGAGTTAAGATAAGGCCGGGATAGCCTGGTCGGTACGGCGCTAGGCCCATGTACGAGAGTTCGAACCCCGCCGGCTGAAGACTCCCCATGTAGTAAAGTGACTGATGTACATTAAATCTGTCGAGTCGCAAAAGTCCTCCATGTTCCCATAATAAATCAATACCTCTGGGGGTACTGGATTGGAGATTGGTCATTCTCTGATTCAGGTCAAAATTACGATCTGTGGATGAATGAATGGGTCCGCCCTATAAACGAGAGCAGCCTATGGTGTGACAGAAGTCAAATTCTCGGCCATAGATGGCGCCACTGAAGAACAAGAAATGCACACTCTGCCTTAAATTTGCTCGGTTTCACCAAGCAGGCTTGCCCGTCCGGCAAGTGGCATTAGAAACAACAACAGAGTTAAGATATTTCTCAAAAATTTCCTATGTTTAAATAAGCCAATTATTGTTACCATTTTCTACAAATTTTTCAATCTATACCTATTTTTATTTTTTCAGTATGACTGTAAATTGAATCCTCATGCAAAATCTGCTTCCTTAAAGCAGTTAAGTAGTGACTACATTTGTAATAAAGTAGTTGTTAAAAAATTAAGTAAATAAAAAGTAGTTTTCCTGCCCACTGAAAACGTCAAAATATTTCATTTACATTTGCTTGAAAGATCTGGAAATAAAGGGTACAAAATACTTGAAAAATGGATTTGAATCACAGCTAAGAGTGTTATAAAGTTATTTGTAAAAATTAAGTTCACTTCAAACTAAAATAACTTTAACGTTGAGCTTTGACGCTTAATGTGCAAAAAATTTAAAAATTGTTTTGGTTAGTGGCAAACTAAACAGTGCTTGAAAAAAAAAGTTTAAAAAATTGTTATTTCTACAACAATATTCATTCTCTTGCAGAATTAGAGTTCACAGTTTGAATGAAAGCAGGCACATAAATTGTATATTTAAATTTTTGATTCTAACGAGGTTTGCCTCTTATTAAGATGATTTTAAGACTTTTGCTTCAGTTAATCTACTCACATTAGACACAAAATTCTATATTTACCAACATTTTAAAATGATAATTTCTAAGTAATTATAAAACACGTTCAACTGTTCTATTTTTTCCCTAAAGCTAAAAATCAAATATTTTTTTTAAACAAATTTTGTATTGTATTGTAAATGATAAACGGGTGAAAAAAAATTAAATCTATCCCATTACATAAAAAAAATGTAAGAATGAGTAAACATTTATGTAAGTTTAAAAGTAAAAATCATTATAAAATATCAACAAAAAAAAACCAAACATTTCTTAAAATATTAATTATTTCAATACATACTATATCATTGGCTATATTTATAAATCTGTCGTTCAATTGTTCACCATTCATAACACTACAAACCGACTGTAGAGCACAGACTTCATATTCTTGAAGAATAATACTGTTTGTAGCAGTTGATTTTTTTGATATTGAAGTACAGATATCACAGGAATGCCCAGTAGAGTTATTTAAATTTGATGTTATTTCTTTCGTAGAAAAGTGTCCTCTGTTTTCTAGGTTCAAAATTATTGCTTTCCATGAAAGTAGAGGAAAATCTTCAGGAAGATAACTTGATAATGCGTCTTTTAGGCAACAAAGCTTTGCAATGAATTTCAAGTAGATTTCAGATTTTGCCTATTGAATGAGAGGAAAAATACACTTCAATGAAATGGAAAGCAGAAAGTATTTAGTTAAAAAGTTTTTTTTTAATTAAGTTTTTTAAGTTTTAAATAAGTTTTTTTTTAAAATTAAAGATATTAGTAATTTGTTGTACAGTAAAATATAAATTTTAATTAATTTTTTCCATAGACCTGAAAACCTGCTATATTTTGGTTTTATTATAGAAAACAAAAGCCGCCTAACTACATAAGCTCTTTAATTCAAAAATATTATGTAAGTAGCTAAAATATTATGTAAGTCTTTAAATTGATGCTGTTATTTTTACACTAAAAAAGTTGCAGCTACTCATAGCTAAAATACTGATTTATTTTTTCCAGTAGCACTCTTCCAAAAAAGGTTAGTTTTATTTAAACATTTTCAGTTTAGTATTTCACTTAGTTTAATAAGTTATTTAGTTTAGTAGTTTAAACTAGATTTGTTATCATTAATATTTTTTTTTTTTTACTAAACTGCATATTTTTTATTCAGATAAATTACATTCCATATAAAGTAGAATAGTTACTGAATGAGTTTCCTTTCCTCTTATAATTCTTATTCACTTTCAAATAAAACTAAATATCATGAATAAATGCTCTCTGCACGATATTCTATTTATATTAAATTTGTTTCCCAAATAAAACCCTTTAAAATAGAAGAACAAAACATTTGATGTCATTTCAACCTACAATGAATAAAATTTTTAAGGATGCAAAATCTAAAAAATCAGATTTGAAAAAATCTAACAAATATAGGAAAGTAAAATTTAAAACTTTTATTTACTTTTTTATCAGAGAGCTTTTCAATAGACAGTGCAGTTCTGCAAGGTATTTCTTCTAAACAGTGATCTTTCACTCGTGAATCAACAGCACAATCAGGTAAATGTATAGTTTCTATCAATGCTGTATAACACGACAATAGATATTCAAGAATATATTCATTGGAGCTAGCTTTATAACTTTTTAAATACTTTATAAAGCAATGTCCACTCATATTGAATATCTTATGACGAGTTTCTTTGAGAGCAGGTGAAAGATATGATCTTCGATACAGCTGAAAGATTCAAAAATCCAGTAAATAATACACTAAAATTAAATTGGGTATATCTGAAATATATATAATTCAGTAAATAATATCAATATGCTAAAATTAAACTGGGTGGGTTCACCTGAAAGATATAAAATTCAATAAATAACAAACTAAAATTTTGTTGAATGTAGATGAAATAAATATATAATTAAGTGAGAGTGACCTTTGATTATTCAAAAATAGCTGTCCTAAAAGCTCAAAAATAGTAGTCTAGAAAGTATCCTCAGAAATAAATAATAGTAGCCTAAATAATATCCTCTGATAACGCCAATTTCTCAGTAAATTCCTCTTGTTTTTTTTTTTTTTAACATTTCCACATTATTATATTTTAATAAAATGTTTAAGAATGATATTATTATGACACATGAATTTTGAATTCTTTTATGCAACTAATTTGCGATGATTCCTGGTAAATATATGTTGTCTTCTGACCAGTTATTAAAAAAAAAATTCAGCCATTTCCACATAGATTCTCAAGTTCAAAATTTCATATTAATTCATATTAGGGTAATCACTTGTGATACTTAATGCACCAATTCTATTTATGCCATTTTCTCAACAGTTTTCTATCATTTTTACAGTCATTTCGTTTTCCGTCATTTTCATAGTTGTTTAGTTTTTTATAATTTTTATAGCTGTTTCCTGCTCTGATATATTAATATTATGTTGTTAGGAGACGCACATTTCACATTCTGATGCACACAAATCGCAATGATTCAATATTAAATCTACATTATTTTTCAATAGTTTTTTTCTTCAGTTATTAATAACTTTTTTTTTTAATGTTTCCACATGGTTTGCCAAATTCTGATATTTAAAATTTATATGGATACTGGAATTTCAAATAGCAGTAATCACTTTCTTATATATTTGATTTACGACCGTGAAGTCAGCATAATTTTTCTGATCATTAATTCTAATCTCATTTATCTACATTTTAAGTCGTTTGGACATGGTTTTTCAAAATCTAATTCTTCTAATATGATGGTATGACTACACACGATTTTGAATCCTCACTTTTAACACACTCGGTTCGTGAAAATTGTATCATAAACTCATGTTGTTCTCTGGTCAATTTTTTGGTAGCTAATTATCCCTGTTTTGACTATTTCCATATGGTTTATATAGTTGCCATTTAGTAGTCATTAAATAGTTGTCATTTTTCTGAAAATAAGACGCTTTTTTAGCTGTTTTGATTTTAAAAATAATAATAATAATAATATTAGTCACAGATTTTAGAAGCAAATAGTTGTATTTCAGGTTCTAGTGGAGGCCCTGTTCAGCTATTAACATCCTAAAATTAAATTAGTTACAGCCGAAAGATTAAAATTTAAATTTTATTCAACACAATTGAAATGAATACACCGAAGAGCCCTTACATTATGACCATCCTCCATCTATAACAATGGGCTCTCCCAGGTTTTCATGGTTTCTCGCCCAGGAACAATGTTTTCATGGGACACATTAGGACCCATAATCCTCATCGAACAATCCCTGACGTCTGTATGCTACTTGAACATAGTTGCAGACCAGGTTCACCCATTCATCTGTGGGGGATTGTGTTTACCAACAGTATGATGCACCGTGTCATAAGGGTCGAATTGTCGAGGAACATTACAGTGACTTTCAAGTCATGTTTTGGCCCCCAAATTCACCTGACCTTAATCCAATAGAGCATTTGTGGTCCTACTTAGAAAACGAAATTCGTGCTGCCACGCTACCCCCTCGCAATGTGATGGAATTGCAGGACCAGTTGGTGAGCGCTTGGTACCAGATACCTCAGACTACCTATCAGCACCTTGTGGAATCAATGCTACAGCGGGTGCTAGCAGTTTTGAGGGCTAAAGGTGGTCCTACATGTTATTAGCAGGGTGGTCATAATGTAATGGCTCTTTGGTGTATATGGTTTAGTAAAGAATATATTAAGGTACAGCTTAAAGATTTAAAATCCAGAAAATGTGATGCTAATAGTAGATAAGTCGTAGTTTAAACAAAAGTTATATAATACCTGAGACAGCTTTTCCAAAATCACAGATAGAGACAAAAGAAATACCACATCGGTTTCACTCTTAGTAGATTTTTTATTCTATAAAAAAAAAAACTTCAATTAATTTTAAACAGAGATTTCCTTTTAGAACATTACTACTTGTTTTCAATAGTACTGAGATAATAATCAAATAAATAAAAGTTTTATAAAAATATTCTTTATATTATTATTTTTCATTTCTGTTATAAAGGTGTTTCTAATAAATTCAAATATGGGAAAGCTTTTTGAAATTATGATAATGTTATCATTGTAATTTTATTTTTCTTAAATGTTAATTTAAAACAAGATATTTTTTTTATCAATAAGATAACTTAAACACATATTTAAAAAAAAAAATGAAAGAAATAATCAAGAAAAACTTTAAGTACCTTTGTAAGATAGAATTCTAAATCCGAAAAAGTGCTATGATTCCTGGAAATTTCTTTAACAACACTTTCTAAAAGATAGATCATCCATGGTTTTATTTCTTGACACTTATCCTAAAAAATAGTATAAATAGGCATACTTCAAAAATATTGAAAGAAAAAAAAAAGCATCAAACCATTATAATGTCAATTTTATATTGAAAGTATCAAGGCTAATATTTCAGAAAATTTTCAAAATCTATGACACATGTAATACATTTCTGAAATTTTGTAATTATTTCAAAAATTGATGAAATTGAAAACAATCAAAAAGTTATTTACCTGTTCCACAAGTTTAGTGGTTGTAAGGACGATTTTTTGAAGAAAAGGTCCACTTGTCACAAAATCAAACAGCCATATACTTCTAACACCATCAAAAATTTTGACCATTTGAGTTGCTATTTGTTCAGCAAGTTTAGAAACATTGTCTTTATGACCTAAGTCAGGAGTGAGAAAAAATAAAACAGAGAGTCCAACAAGACATTGCATTTGATTTCCTGGCAGTAGATATTCAAGAGGTAAACACTCAATTAGCTATAAAAAGAAGAAAAAAATTGTGAGCAAAATCATAAAAATCAATAATAAACAATTACAAAAGTAATAAAACTTAAAAAGTTCATTTTTAGTAATAAAACAATTAAATCTTCTAGCATAAATAACAATTGATTTGAAAAAATTTATTATTTGTATTGAGAATTGAAAATTGTATTGTCTACTCAGGGGTCTGTCCAGACTAAATTTACTACTGTTTAGCGGTACAAATTATGTCTAAATTTTTACAAAATAGGTGTCACTCAAAAGAGCCTAGACAGACCCCTGCTACTGGATAGGGGACTAGAGTATTCTCACTAAGTTTCAAAATTATTAAAATAGTTTGTGTGCAGATGGCATTGAGGAAGGGAAGTGTCGTTTCCCTATAGAAAAAAAAGGAGTTAAAAAGAGAAGGACTCACTCGCTGTGGCGTATTTTTAATGCATGTTTAGAGGAGGTTTATCTCCTTGTGATGTTATATATATACATAAAGAAAATTTATCTCTAAATATTTAAAGTACAAAAAATCAAAAATGAAAATTTTTTAAAACTGCATCCACTAATCCAGTAATGTACAATTTCGGACGGGGTATTGTCCCCCAAATCCTCCCCAAAACTATGACACTGCTCACTCGTGTGAAAGAACATTATGGACATGATGCTGAAAGATTACAGATGAAGGTGAAAGGAGTAACCAGAAGTAGAAAGCTGGATTTTGTTTTTAATTTTAACATGTATAATTGTAAATATATATATATATATATAAAGTTCTGTCATCCTTCTGAGTATACCAAAAACGAACCAAGAAATTAAAAAGCTTTTCACAATAGCGTAGTTGGCAGGATGACAGGACTTATATCATATATATATTTATTTCAGGTTCTGGATTGATATTATATATATATTTACAATTATACAAGTTTAAAATAATATCAAAATCCAACATTTCACCTCGGGAGAGTCGCTATCCCCTTCGCATTCACCTATACCCTCCCAGCTTAATGACCAGAATATTGTTTCTCTCTCTCTCGAGTCCTTCTCTTTTTGACTCCTTTCCTCTCTCACGAAAGGAAAACTACACTTCCTGCATCACTCAGCCACTGACCTTCAGGTCAGGAGTCATTTAGATGAGTGGGAGTGGAATCAGAGTCCTGACAAGTATTATCCCAAAAAATAAATAAATGACGAGAATTTTTACTCATCTATTAATTCTTGAGAAGAGAAATTTAAAATAGAGAAATAAACTTCAAAACTGAGCTGATATTTGTAAATTACTGCAATTTCATAACATGCTCTAAAATTATTAATTCAAAAAATATTATTACTGATTTAAAATATTAGTGATTCAAAAAATATAATTACCCTAAACAAATATTATTCCACAATACTTAAATTTTTTTTTAATATTATTGACAGCTTAACCAGACAAGGCTTCGAATGAAACAAAATTTTAACAAAGTATATAGAATTCCTTTTTTTCCCTTCATATAACGTGATTGCATCTTACATGATGATTGACAGTAAGCTACCAATACTGACAACTAAAAAATAAGAGGTGTTTGAGGTAGAATTTAAAAATGGCAGAGTTTTGCTTTTTCATTCAAATATTTATTTAAAATCCCTGATCCGCTCAGTTTCTTGACATATTTTTATACAAAGATTTAAAAAATATATGTTAGAGGAAAGCATTCGGAAATACCTTGTATCTGAAAAGTCCTAAATGCTACCACTGTGTTAAATAAAAAATCAATTCTTAAAATTTAAAAAAAAACATTAACATGAAAAATAAATTATTTCACTATTATATATCTTTAATAAAGCAAGGGTGAAAGTGTAATACCTTGATTTTATTGAAAAGTTGTGGCTTCATCTTAAGGTTGCATAAGGAATCGTTCAACAATACTTGATTCAGAAGTTCACACGATTCTTTAATGCCAGTCCATAAAGGGTTGTACGTTTCTCCCTTTTGGCATTTTGGTGTTGTTTGTGCATATTTCATCCATTTGCCTCGAAAACTGTTCAACTTCAGTAGTACATCGTTCAATGTTACATCTTCAGATAATAATTCCTCACTTACCCTATTTAAAAAAAAAGTATTCAATTTCATTAATGAACTTTTTTTATGTTCAATGATGAGTGGCTAACAAATTATTATTAAAGAAAAATAAACATATTTCATAAATACGAAATCGGCCACCTCTAAATGTACGACAAGACATAAAAAGTCATTAAATTTTAAAGCTCACTTTTTTTTCATGCCTTGGTCTAAAATGTTAGTAACTAAGATACATAACTACAGATGTCATAGTTGTAAAAAAAAAATTTTTAATGTTTTCATTTACCAAAATCAAACAAATTCTCATAGGTACATACTTTTTATTTTATTTTAGTTTTTTAAAATTATTTATCTGCTTTAAAAAAATTAAAATGTAAAAACTCCAAGGTTTTTAAATCTTCTTTAAGTCTAATACCCTGTTTGCACTGTCCAGTTGATTGTACACGGCAACATCAGGCTTAAATCTCTTTTCTTGGCCACTAATGAAAGTTCCTCAAAAGAATAACAAGCTAGCCAATATAAACAATGTATAATAATGCATAAAAGGTCACTGCCATTCTTACCTTTTCCTAGACAAAATCAAATCTTCACTCTTCCACATTGACATAACAAAGGCAGACTGAAAAGACTTTGATTCCAAAAAGAACCCACTTTTTACGTGCGACAGTGCAATTTGGCTTAAACTAAATTTATCATCAATTTCTTGGCTGAAATTGAAAAAAAAAATCAAATCAATAAATAAATCTGAACTAAGAAGACACACACTAATAAAAAATAATAAACAAATAAAGACAATAATATTCAAGTGCAGATAATGCAAAATATAATAACCCTAGTTGTCCAAGCAAAAAAGGGACATAGTAACGCGAGGTTGTTTTATTATGAGTGTACAAATATAACGTAAACATTAACTCGCTACTAATAAATGATGGTAACAAGCTAAACAAGCTAAAGTTTTTAAAGATTGCTGGTCAGGAAACGGACCTGGTCTGTTGCTAAGGACAGGATCAGACGAAAAGGTATAGTGAAAGTCTTATGGATCAGAAAGCATGAAGAAATAAATGAAGAACTAAACTTGGCAAAACCATGTTAGTTAAGAGACTGATAAAATAATTTATAATAACTTAAAGTGTTAAACACAAGATATTTTGCGCAAATGATTTAGTTAAGTTCAGTTGGTTAATAAGTTCATAATTTGCAAAAATGCTTAACACTTGTTTTGAAAAAATATTTAACGCAATGGGAGGGGAAAAAAATCATAGCTTAGTTTTTTTTATAACCATTGTTGAACAGCCGACCCAATTCTTTTTGGTTTAAGACTACTAATGTTCGATTCCGCAGCTTTGCAATTTTGAACTCAATCCAGAAGACAAAAGAACTCCTGGATCAAGTATTGGGAGAAATTTTGCCTTTACGGAGGACTTTTCGATGAAGCTAACCCGCATCTGCGTTGCATGGAGACGAAGATCACAAGAACCTCCCATAGTTAGCCTGATGGCAAGGGGACTCTAACCTATGATCCGTCTACCAAGGCGGATATTTCACGTCAGCACTGTGGTCGGTGCAAGCCGGATGCGGAATTCGTATCGACCAGCCACAGTCGGGATCGAACCCCGGTTCACCTCATTGGAAGGCGAACACTCTATCTCCTGAACCATTGCAGAAATATCATTACCCATAGAATAGTAAACAAAACTTTAAGTATAGGTAGTGCTTTAATAGCTAATGTAATAAAATAAGTGATCATTATAGAGTCCTTATTTTATGATCTAAAATAATTACAAATGATACCATTAAAACAAAGAATATTCCTCCTAATTAAAAAAAAAAAGGATTTCAATATGATACATTATTTTATGCCAAGATAATGCTTAGCAATAATGTTTAGATGCTTTAATAATCTAAAAATGTTTAAACATATCTATGAAGGCTTTTCGTCACTGAAGTCCCCATCAAAAGCAATACCTAAATAATCATTTATATGACTGAAATAGAAAATAATGCTTTTGAATTTTCAATGCAAAAAATATATCATAAAATACAAATCAATAAAAAAAAATAATAATCAATAGAAAAAATTCTCTTTTCTTTAATATCATTGATCTTTAGAGTCGTTGAAATGTGCGGGCTTAAAACTGTGCCACCCTTCCAACTACTCTGACCTTACTTGCGTAAATAAGAAGCGCGATAACTTTTAATTAAGACCAAATTACCCGTTTAAAATGACACTGTGGAAAGAATGGCAAAGTGAGAGAAGTTGTTTATGATTCAGCATATTGATGACAAGGGGAATGAGCTTTAGAAGTAATCTCCACACAGCTGTACCATAATTACTTGTATCAAGGGTACACATCTGCAAGAAATAAATGATGTGTTATAATTAAATACAATAATAAATAAGAAGGGTACTATGATAAATAATAATTACATCTAAGTCCCATGATGCACTTGCAGATGTGTTTTCTTGAGCATGTTGTATGAGAGTCAAGACAACCAACTGTAGATGAGACTTTTCATCCTCAGAAGCATCCTTCTTGCAAAGAAGACATTTTGCTTTTTGAATCATAAGTTGGAACTAAAAATAGATTACTTAAATTTAAAACTAGTACAAGTGCACTAATTTTTAACAAATAATGTTTATCTATTAAAAATAACTAATATATAGCAAGCTTTTGTTCAATAAATGATATTACAGGAAGAAAAATAAAAATACTCAGGAATTTTTTTTTCTTTTTTTTTTTTAAAGATTTATTTGTAGCTAACAGCATAAATTTAATTATGAATTTTTCATGTATGAGTTATTTTTAAACAGAAAACAACACTTATGCATAAATAATACTTAAAGTTGAAAAAAATTTTTCTTTTTAAATTATTGCTAAAAAAATTTTTTTTGAAAAATATTGAACTTCTAGATACTTCAAACATAAATTTATTCCTTTTTTAGCCACCTAGGCTTTATAAATCTCAGATGAAATTTTTAATTTTCCAAACAGTTACATTTTCAATGATTTTCTGAAAAATATTTATAAAAGAAAATCAGATAAAAAGAAACCAAAAAGAGTTTTTTGTTATGCAATTAAAAAAATGAAGTTTCAACCAAATAATGTTAATTTTAAAAACAGCAATTAAAAAAAAAAATTTTTTTATGCACTGATTTAAATTATCTTAAATAGAATATAATAACATTTAACATAAAAAATAAATTTTCACAATTATTATACAAAATTAAAAAGTTTTAAAAAAAAAACTTACAACTAGTAAACTTAGAATTTTATCATCACTTTCCCAAAATGATTGTAAATAATCAGCATGACCTTCCTCAAAGAAATTATGTACAAGGGAACAATCAAGTGCATTGTTTGAACTTTTCATTGTAAATAAATCTTCTGAAGGTTCATCAGCACAGCAATAACTGGCAATTTTAATTTCTCCAAGAGCATAACATAACAATAAGAAAGATCTTTGAAGCTGCTGCACCTAAAAAAAAATAAAAGAACAAAAATCTCAACAATATTTTTTTCGTTTTTCAGTTTATAGTTACTCTGTAACAGAACTGTTTACACACTGCCATGACAACAATATTCAGAATGTCATCTAGTGACATTATATTCATTCTATTTCCAGTCTCAGAGAGAGAGGTTGACCCTCTTGCTGATAAATGTTATTTCTTCTATTCCATTTTTAATTGTTTGCTCTTTCCACTGTTTAATATTTTGCATTTACTTGTAAGTGCTCCATAATTTTATATGCAATCAACAAACTAACAAAGAGCTCGTTGGAATCTTAGTTTGCGCATAAACTGTTACAATTCAGTATTAATTAGAAGTAATCTATACATTTTAGTAGAGTATTCAAACTTAAAATGTTGCTCAGAACTAAATTTAGACATTTTATTCTTACATTCTCTTTTTTTCTTGCAACACAAATAAATTTTCCTTATGTATTGCAGCCTGCATTTTTTTATTTATCCATATGTGCCTATCAACTCACAAGTTAAAACGTCAATAGAAATTTGAAAAGATAGTAAAAATAACTTAATTTGCATAAGATATTAGACATTTGCTTGAAAAAAGTTAAATTATAACTTCTTAAATATTTCTAAAAAAGCTGGTGATGGGCAGCAGGTGATGGGTCTTTTCAAACTTAATGTAAAAGTAAACATTAAATAAAATAACAAATAATTAAAAAATAAATTCACCAATTATAAAACTAAGTGAAGACAATGCAAATACATCTACACAAGATTAGAATATATAGAAAAATTTATACCTCTTTCTTTTCTTTATAAAGGACAGATACATTCTTCTTTAATTCTTCAGTTATATATAGCACTAGATCTTTGAACTTTGGATACACACTATCTGGAACTTCTTCATCAAATAATTTGGTGTGTACAAGAAACGAAGAAAATATTTGAGAAAAAAAGAATAATGCACCTAAATTGGAAAAAAAAAACAATAATGAAAGTTATAATTCATAATAACTAAGTAACAATCAATAAATAGTAAGAACTAAACTACAATGAGTTGAAAATAGTTTAATATTTCTCTAAATAAATTTAAAAGACTAAATATAAAAATTTTACCTAAAATAAATTGCCAATTTTTTATAGCATAATAAATTTTATTTTACTAATGATGCTAAATTAAAAATAAAACTTTAACCAATTAATCAAAATCAGCTAGTCAAATTTTTTCCCTAAGTATTTTTTTAATATAGTTCAGAAGGGGAAAAAAACTTTGCAACCATTTACAATAAATATAAGTTCTTTACTATAAAAAGATGTAGTGATCAATAACATATATTTGATATTCAAATATAAGACCAAACAGAAAAATATCCTATAAAGATATTTCAGACTAAAAAATATCTTGTAAAGTCTAAACCTATTTTACGCAATCTGATTTTTAGTGCAATTTTTACATAAATATAGATATGCATTTAATTAAAGGGATGAACAGTAAAATTTAATCAGCTAAGACAATTAAGTTAGAATTTTTTTTCTTTAATTTTGGCAGAACGAAAAAATAGAAAAAAAAAGATCTTTTTGCTCTACATAACTATGTATAAAAAATTATAACATGAAGCAAAATAATTAAGCATATTTGGACTGAAGTTATATGTTTGAAAATATAATAATCAAAAGTTAAATATATAAATTATATTTAAAATCTCTGAAAATTAGCAGGGTTTTAACTATTTTCACCTAATCAATGATGTTAGGCGCCAAATTCTACAGAACTATTTAATATTATTCATCATTTATTCATCATTTTTAAATGAAATGATTAGCAGAAAAAGAGGACCAGATAAAAAAAAATTTACCTTTTCCAGAAGCAAACAATTGATTCAAATTTGCAAAGGTAGTGTAAATTTCAGCAAATATCTTTCCCAAATCAAGAATTTGTCCAAATGAAAGGTCTTGAAATTGCTGTGCTAAAGTTTGGAGTATCTCTGGATATATCTGACCTCTTGTTATGAGTTCACCAAAAGTGTCGTTTTTAATGCATTCAGTTAAATTTAAAAGAAGTTTCACATAAAATTTGGGAAGCTGATTTAGTCTTGAGTATAGTGTAACAATTTGAATAAAATATCTACAAAACTCTTGTTTGATTTCATTATTTGCCTAAAACAGAAAGAAAAAAAAATTATATAACTTTCAATAAAATGACAAAAAGATTAAATGACACAGATTAATTACACTGTATACATCCAAATATTCTTTATACAGGGTTCATACAGAGATCAGAAGAAGAAATCCAAGGAGTATCCAAGGAGTCCAAAATTTTAAGGATTTATCAAAAATTTAAAAACTTTGTGTAAAAGATTGTTTTTCTTAAAAAAATTAAAAAGCAGTTATTATAAGGAACTTGCAAAAATGTATATTTTGAATTTAATTTCTATCCCTTTTGAAATAAATTTTGACTTTGTCAAACTTCGTCAAGAAAAATAAATTAGTTATCACTTTGACACATAATTACACTTTCCAATTTCAAATATTTTAATAAATCTTGTTAAAGTACAAATGTTAAGGATTGACATAAAAACCTACCAATCTTTTATTTTTAAATTTGAATACATAAGAAAATCTAAGGCATTTTATAACAAGAAAAAAAAAATCACAGCAAATTATTAATTAAGTTTGCTTGTAACATGTAAAATTATTTGCTGCTATTTTTCTTCTTTTAACTCTTGCAATTCAACTTTTATTATTTTAAAAGTTTTCTTAAACTGCTAGATTTTGACAGCTAAGTCATATCCAGTGGTGCAAGTGGCTAAACATGGCTTTGGAGCAACAAAAAGGCAATTTTGGAGCAGTGAAACGGAGATTTGGAGCATATGTAATAAAAAGAATTAAAACAAGAATTTAATAACAAGAATTTTCAATTTTGTTCACTAATAACGTGTCTTATTTTTTTAAACTTTTATGAAGGTCCCTGCATTAAAAAATTAAGTTTCTATTTGGTATCTTCCAATGCTGTTAAATATTCTGCTATCCTCGACTTTTCCTCAGATACGAGGATCTGTTCGCTTTCTATAATCGACATGTCTTTATTATTTAACCCATCTTTAATATTTTTTTCAGCTGTGGCTAAGAGATCCTGAGAAGCCTTCAATTTTTTTTTGCAAATCAATTTCAGCAGCTTTCAATCTGCTTTCCTCAGATTCAGTGTTTTCACATTCTTTTTTCTCAACCTGTAATCCAGCAGAATAATTCTTAAATGCTGCACGAGCCACTTTAATCATATCTTCGTCAACTTTAAAGTTATTTAAACTCCCTATTTTGTTGATATGTGACACAACTTGTCTCAAACCATTAATACTATGTTAATTTAAACTTGCCGTATAGTCAAGTAGCTTTTTGTTCACACTAAGTATTCATATTATCAATATTTTATTTCCTTTTTAGACCACAGGTTGCTAAAATGTTTATCTTTTTGGCTGACTATAATTTTTAATAATGATTATTGCAGTACTTGTAATAAATGTAATATATATAAAAATTCTAAACTTTAAAATTTGCATTTAATAGAGATAAATATTGTTAGGATTGTTTTTGAAATTAATAAATACATGCAATACAACTTTTCAAATGGCAACATAATAATTACTGAATGCTAAATGCGGACTGCCTGAATTGCTAAAAAATATTTGATAAAAATATTTTATTTTTGATAAGGTGAATTTTTTAGGGTCTGACTTTTAGTTCATAATATCAAGGTTTGACAGGTTTCATACGTTAAAAAAGTATTTATCTTTTTGGCAGACTAAAATTTTTAATAAAGATTATTGAAATATGTGTAACAAATGCAATTATAAAAATTACCAAACCAAGAAATTTACCTTTCATACAAATAAATATTGTTTGAAATAATTGTTTTTCAAATAAATAGAATAATTCAACTTCTACAATGTCAATATAATAATAACTTTGACTGAATTGCTAAAAAACATTTGATTTTTGATTTGGGAAATTTTTAGGGTCTGAATTTAGTTCATAGTATCAATGCTTGACAAGTTCCATAGACTACAAAAGTATTTATCCAATTAGTTAAATCCAATTACAATTATTATCCAATTACTAAAATTTTTAATAATGATGATTGCAATACAAGTAACAAATACAATTCTAAAAAATTAACAAACTTTAGAATCAGTATTTACAATACAATTGAAAATTTTTTTGAAATAAATATACGTAATATAATTACTACTTTGCCCCAGTTATTAAGAAACATTTAATTTGATTTATTAAAATATAAAACTTGTTCATAATACGAAGGTTTGACAGGTTTTAAAAGTATCCCAAAAGTATTTTTGGCCAACTAAACTTTTAATAATGATGATTGAAATGTATGTAACAACTGCAATTATAAAAAATTACCATTCTGAAAAATTTGTATTTAGCACAAATGAATATTGTTTGAAGTAACTGCTTTTGAAATAAATGCATGTTATACAACTTTTAAAATGTCAATACGATTACGGCATTTAACTGAATTTTCGTAAAGTAATCGTTTTTTGAAAAACTAAATTTTTAATATTCTGACATTTTTAGTGTCTCTCTTCCAATTCATAATATTGGGGTTTGACAGTAGACGTTTTGTAAAACTTTTAAGTATAATAGCACACTTCGGATGACGAGCGGTGGCTGAGTGGTAGCGCTTCCATGCCACAGGTCCTGGGTTCGATCTTCGGGCCAGGCAAGGTTAACTCAGCTTTTCATCCCTTCAGTGGGTCGATAAATGAGTACCAAGCATGCTTGGGAACTAAACACTGGGGGTTCCGCGTTTGGCAGACCCCCTAACCGGAACATCTGCTCCCGCACCACAGAGCCCAAGGTCAAGAAAACTGAGACGGGCACAGTAGGCCTTGGTCCTCTATGGGCTGTCGCGCCACTGAGTTTTAGTTTCTTTAGCATACTTCCGATAATTGTTTATAGATGTACAAGAATTTAATAATCATAATTGAAAAACATCAGAACTGAAAATATTGAATATAAATTGTAACAAAATACATTAAAAAAATATCCTTTAATCGAAGGGATTGTTAGGAAATATTAACAAACCACAAGATAGTAGATCTTTTCTTTCTTAACATGAAACCATTTACAAATGAATGCTACCATACAAAAAATAATAAAAAATTTCACAATATTCTCTCTAATATTATTGGAACAAACTTTTAGGGGAGGCATGCACAGCAACCAATGGTTGGAAACGTCGCAGAAAAATAGTACGACAGATACAAGAAACAAAGACTGAGTTCACCTGAAATATTTATTGGCCAAAGATATTACGTGGGCCATTGCAGATTATACGTTAAAATGTCACAAAAGATGGTCAAAGTTTCCACTATTGCTAGCGCTGCATGTGTTACTCTATTGAGTCATGAATTGACAGACTCACTTAAAGACACCTGGATTTGTTGGATATCCGCAGTAGCACAGACAATTTTTTGAAACCAGATTCATTTTGGAATCCATAGATGTTGCCTACACAGCACTTTTCAGTGCATCCTTACAATAGAAATCCATGTTGCTTAAATCAGGAGAGCGTGATGGCCAGTTAACCAATCCACCTTCTGAACGACGACACTTAGAGGCGACAATGACACTTAGTTTCTGATTAAGAGGTTTCGATGCAACTCTGAATCTTTGTGATGTCCTCTAACTTCCCTTAAAATTTGTCATCATCCAGGGATACCCTATATATGTACTGCCTTTTGTGAGGATTTAGTCCACAAAAAGGCAGTACCATATATAGAACTAATAAGATTTTTTTAATAAAATTTTTTTGACAAATATTTCTGAACAAATATAAATTTTCTTCAGAAAATATGAAGCCCATATCTTAATATGATCTACTACTTAAATTTTAACAAAATTTAAGAATTTAAATTTTTTTATTGTTAATATTGCACAATGTAGGTATCAATGCATAGCGTAATGTATATATCAAGAAACTACTTTAAAAAATAAGGAAATTATTTTACTAAACATAAGGAAATTATTTTACTTATTAAGGATATTTTTTATAGGGACGATAAAACAATAAAAAAGAGGTTTATAAATGCTTTACAATATGACATTTAATTTTAAAACAATTTGATTATACTCAGAAATAAAAAGTTTGACTACTAAATACAACCACCCTGCACTAATTTTAAAATTAATGACACTAAAGATCTTATTACGAGGCGCATCCTGAAAGTAAGTACACTTTCAAGATCATATTTATTGGCAACGAGTACTGCAATGTTTCAGCTATTTTACAACATAGCCACCACCAGAATTGAGACACTTGTTGCATCGTGGAATCAACTTCTGTATCCATCTGTCGTAGAACTCTGCCCCCTGTGAATGGAACCAGCGTGTGACAGAAGTTCTCAGCTCTTCATCGTTGCCAAAACGCTCATCGGAGGACAGGAATTTCTTGAGGTGCAAGAAAACATGAAAATCACTGAGAGCAACATTTGGGCTGTAGGGTGGATGATCAAACAACTCCCAGCCAAATTTTGTCAAAACAGCAGCAGTGTGTCATGCCGTATGCGGACAATCATTCTTTATCAAGGAGGAGCGCAACACCTGCAGTAAACATTCCACGACTCTTGTTTTGAATGGAACGTCACAATTTCGGCAGTGTTTCAGAGTAACAGCAGACGTCTGTCACACACTGGTTCCATTCACAGGGGGCAGAGTTCTACAACAGAGGGTTACAAAAGTTGATCCCACAATACGACAAGTGTCTCAATTCTGGTGGTGGCTATGTTGGAAAATAGCTTAAACATTGCTGTACTTGTTGCCAATAAATATGATCCTGCAAGTGTGAGTTCTTTTTTTTTTAAAAAATTCAGAAAACTTACTTTCTGGATGAGCTTCGTAATTTATTTCTAAATGAAATTGCATACTAAATTTTGAATAATTAATCCTCATACTCAATGCTCTTGATTTTATAATACACAATAATCATTATTATTAGTCAAAGTAAAACAGAAATATTTTTGATTTCATTAAAACTAGAGATATTAGTCACATGACAAAAAATAACAATAATAATAATAGAACAACTTACTATATCTATGTCAAGGAGACATAATTTAACAAAATCAGTCAGATTTTTCTCCACTAAAGAAACAGACAATTTAGTAAGGCTTCGGAAGCATTTTAGCCAATATAACAAATTTTCCGTGGGTTTCATATCCAACAGGCCAGCCAATATACCTTCAAGCCAATCAGATGGCTTCAAGTAGCCTTCTGGAACTACTGAAAGCAAGAAGTATTCTGGATGTTGTTCACAGGCTTCGAGAAGGCTACTTAAGGGTAAAAACATGGAACTATCAGAACGATTAACCTAAAAAACAGATAATAATTAATTTATAAGTTTTTATCCAGATTAAACTATTCATACTTAAAAATGGAAAAAAATAGAGTAATGCAACTTTTTTTTTCTTTGCAAATGTATTAATTTAAATTCGCATAACAATTTTGTCAAGAAAATAGCTACATTTAAGAATAACTATTATAAAAATGATCAACCAGAAAAATAAAATGTTTTATTAGTTGTTATATTTTATCCTGATTATTGCCCTTTTTTCATCGAGAATTGTGATTAGTTGTATTATAAATAATACTTACAGGCAAAATTTTTAAAAAAATTATATATACTACAATTTATGAGCACTCATTATAAAAATGATTAAACTACAGAGGGCTAATTTCTTTTATTAAAGGTCTTTTGCAGTGAAAAATGAAAAGGCCACATTACAAATGGATTAAACAAAAATGTATTTCAACTAAAACAATTTCAAATTTAATATATAAAATAATAATTATAATAAATAGGCTAAATGTTGAATACCTGAAGCCCCCAAAATACCGTTGTTTTTTAGAAAAATCAACGAAAGAAAAACAGAAAATAGAAATGTACTTCTAGCTGCATTTTGCTTAGGAAACTAGATTTATTATCATCAATTCTTAAAAGTTGCAAAGTTTACTAACAGATGGTGTTTCATGCTAAATTAGACAATAAAACAATACTTTTGAAAAAGCCTTTGTTTGAATAACAAAGTGACTCAGTCTGAGGACAAAATTTGCAGACACTAGTGCAAGCATTTTAGTTGTAACAATCTGTCATGTAGCAGAAAATATTGTTTAATAGTTTTACTAGTCAGCAACACCATCTGATATAGCTAATTTTCAAAGTTGGTAACAATAAATGACTTGTTTCCTATGCAAAATTTACTAAAAAAATATATCTCCTTCTATTTTTCCTTTATTGATTTTTTCAGATCATAGGCTTTCGGTATACTCATTAATATATACTTATATTATGCAATAATGCATTTTTAAAATGTAGCACATGTAAAGTATAATTGAATTTGTCAATAATTACTTTCAAAATATTATTGCAGCAGGAATCAGTAGATATCATCAGAGGAATATCAAAGCCACAAGCAGCACAAAGAAGGGCTAAAATTGATAAAGGGTCCAGGTCTGATCTAAAAATGGAATATATGTAACAGTTTAAAGGTCATTTAGGCAGCTATAAAAGTAAAAATATTTAAATTACGCAACGATAAATAAATACAGTTAATTCGTGAGACCGCTGGTAAGAAAATCAAAACTATCAGATTACCAAGATAGTATCTTTATCCAATGTACTACAGTAAACAGTAAAAAAAGTCAATACAAGAAAGTTCACTAAAAGTAAAAAGATGAAAACAATTGCATTTCTGAGTTGTATGGAGAAGGAAATTATCATTAATAACGTTATTAAGTTAAAGCATGAAATTTCAGTTATGGTTCAGTCTTTTTATTTTATTGTAATAACTTGTTATTAATTTCTCCAGCACCTTTGTGTTTACATCTTTTCTGTGTTTGGACACCAAAGAAGAGACTTCATTATAGTACTAAAATGAACATATGTCCCTTCATGCAACAACATTTGTGCTCTTTTCACAGCGTTTAAGCTTTATTCACGTATAGTTCAAAATTAAACTTAAAAATAATTTTACTGTTAAAAAGCAAAATTTTCTATCTTATTAATGCAAAATTTAAAATTTTCTTTCTTATTAATGCAAAATAATAACAATGTTTTTAAGGATACTCTTATAAAAACAAATTATATGCTTAATCAAGAAATAAAAGTTTAAAACATTAAACATGCCTTTAACTTGGAAAATGATATAAAGATACAATACACAGTAGATCAAATAAAACAACAATCGTTTACAAACCTATTCTGATTTAAGGTACAGGACATCATTTCTTTAATTAAAGCTGAAGCTACAACACATCCGGAAATATTTCCGTATATTTTCTGAAATTAATAGATTAAAATATATATGTCAGTATTTAATGAAACCATAATAAATTTAAAAACAAATAAAATATGAGGTAAATATTAACAAGAAAATATTGACATAAAAATAATACAAAAGAAAGGGCATAGAACATTTAAAATTGAAGATCAAACAAGAAATAATAAATACCTGTTTCTTAAATAGTTTTTGCAAATTATCAAAAAAAGCCAAGATATGGACATTTGGTTCTTTTGGGGCATCTTCAGAATCAGCTTCTGGTGTTAACAGACTTTTAAATGACCCAGTCTTTGAACTATTTAATAAAAATCATGTATTTGAGTAATATAATACTTAGAAACTAATACTTTGAATAATAAAATTCTTAGACTATAGACAATTCATTAAACATTTTTTAATAAAGTAATCATTGCATAACTTTTTAGTATTTTAGTTGATATTTTATAAAAAAATATATACACTTACATCATAACATTAATTTAAATAACTAAATAACATAAATTTTTAAAAATAGGCTTTGATGAAATTTCTATTTCCTTAAATTTTATTAAAGCATAAAATTTGTATTAATAACAACAGCGAATTAGTTATTTAAAACTATACCATTATTTACAAAACTCATAAATTACAGTTTTATGCAGAATTAAGATTTTGTATTTGTTATTTAAAGAAGCACATATTTGGTAACATTCAGGAAAAATCTAAATTTTTGCCATAAATATTTATGGGTATTGTGAATTGAATTTATTGTTTTTCTTTCCAACATAGATAATATGTGATATATCTGGTTGAACTATTTTGATATCATAATCCCTATGAGTTTATAACTAATTATTAAAATAACACCTTACACTTATCCAATTAAAAAAATTTTCTAAAAATAAAATTGAAAATTACAAAACTCTAGACATCTGAGTGAAATTTTAGAAAAGGTGCCTTAAAATTGATTCCCAATACCTTATATTAATTACAATAATAAAACCTAAATATTACATTTATATTACCTATAATACCGAAATATTACACCTAAATATTAATATTTCCCATTTAAAGTTAGCATTTGAAAAAAAAATTAAAAGTATATAGCCCATTAAATTTTATATTAAAATAACATATTTGAATGAAAAAACAGAAAAAAAAATCTTTTTTGAGCTTACTTGAAAACTATTCCAGTCAGGTTTTTAACAATATCATAGCTAAGTGGACAATAATCAACATGACATGTGGCAAAATACACAAATGTAGATATGACTTTAATATTATCAATATATGCTGGCAACTGTCAAGAAATTACAACACAAGTTAGATATATTAGAGACAAAACACAAATAACAAATTTTTTAATAATTTTTAAAAGAAACAATGGGTATTAAGAGAAAACCTAAGGTACTATGGTGATAGCTATCATGATTTTCTACGTATCAAAATAATCAAGATGAATTGTCAAATTTTTGGACAATACAAAATTTTAAATGTAAAGAGATCCAACTATTTTTAAACCATTTTCTAATAAAAAGCTATATATTTGAATAAAATATTTACTAGAAAATACTATAAATTAATACTAGTAATTTTATCGACGAAAGAACGGACCCTAGTCATAGATCTATTCTCCAGAATATTCTTTCCTGAAATATTCCCCATGGTATAACATTCCATTTTAGATAATTGTAAAAAGTTCAAGACAAAAGATATTGAAAATAAAAAGGGCAAAGAAATAAAGGCAAAATAAATGAAAAAGAACATAAAAATATTAATACAATGCCAGATATTTTAATGTGCCGATATGTGATACTGAGAAAAAAAAACTCTTACTTAAATCTAATGCTAATTAGGTGCAAATAAAACTTAAATTAAATAACAAGTGGTAAATATTTTTGAAGCAGGTTTTAAATTTCCATATATTTTAATATTCAAAATATAGATTTAAAAATTCACACATGTTATGAATATATTAAAATTAATATCTTAAAACCATAAATTTGACTTACCTTTGATTCATTTGAAGCATTGGGTAAACTGTTTAATGTCTCTAAAATTATATAGATGAGAGATTTTGACTCTTTTATAAACGTTGAATTTTCTTTGTAATATTCGCAACATGCGTCTAAGGTCACAAAAAGAAGAGAAAGCTAAAAGAAACAAACTTTAATTGTTTTATGTACCTTTAGATACTTTTTCAAACTATTAAAATTATTTATTTCATGTAGACGAAAAATTACAATTAAAGAGATATTTGTGGGTTTTTTTTTCTTTTAAAATTAAGCAATTTGCAAATCAAATTGTTACACCAGAATTAAAGAACATTCAAGGATACATGGTCAACATTAAGTAACCTGAGCAAAATATTTAAAAAGTGCTAACAAAAATCAGATTAAATACACGCTAATGAATTTTTTTTACCATCTATTAAGTAAATGACACTTGTAGAAAATACTTCTGCAAAAAAAATTTAGGTTTTGCACTGTAAATTTGAAAAAAAAGTTCCTAAAGTTTTTTAATATTGAAATTCAATCTCAGTTTACACCAAACAATTGAATTTGAAAATTGTTATAGATTTTTGATTAATTAAATAATAATGATAATTAATAGTTATTAATTAGTACTAAGTAGGTGATATTAATAGTTATTAATTAATATTGATATTATTTAATGCTAAAAAATATTATTAAATATTTATTAAATTATTTATTAACTAATTGATTTTTAAAGTTGTTTTCAGATAAAATTGCATTTTCAAATACAATGTATGTGACATATTTTTAAAGTAATATATTGAGGTACAAAAAATTCTAACTAAACTACTATATTTTTGAGCTCAATAAACTATAGATTAATATAGATTAACCTAAATATAGATTAATATGGCAATTTTATTTAAGACCTAGCTCGGTTCTTTCTCTTGCTTCTGCTCAGGCATACTGAGCTTAGCATATATAAAATTGCATCAAGTGACTTTGATAAGTGTCTATATTTTTTTCAAAAATATTTTTCACTCTTTAATATTTTAAAATCCTAATCTTAAGATTTCCAACATAAACTAAAATAAAAAAAGAAATTATTTAGAAAATTTTAAAGACAAAACATTTCTTTAAACATATTTTTTGTTGCACGAGAGAGACCTTAAACTGTTCAAGGCCCTGAGCCAGCAGATGTTGACATCAATCTTCCAGTGGCTGCACTAAGAGAGGGACGGAGATGATTTAGAGTTGCGGTTTTATTCCTCTGTGCACATAATGATAAATACTGTTCGTTGACGCTTGTTGTAGCATTTGGCTGTCCTTGGCTGAAACTTCTGGGTGCCGAAATTGTAGTCCAAGACTGTGAAGCACAGAAGGAGTCCCATTTAGCCACCTGGCCACTTCTATCAGACTTAGTACTGCCTCAAGTCTTCCAATAGATCTCCATCAAAGCTCTTTAGACAAATGATGCCAAGAGGTTATTGTTACAAATTGGCTATCTCACATTTCTTATCTCCGAAACACAGTGAAATTTGCAAGCTTGCAATTAAACACACAATTTTATGCTCATAGCAGATGATGCTATTCTAGTGCAGTGCCAATATTTAGTGTATTTCAATTTTATTTAGCAACTCTTAATTGAAAACATGTTCAAATTTCATTGGGATAAGCTTATTTTTGGGGGAGTTATCACTATTTTTGTAATTTTTACTTAATTTATGATAACTAGCATAAATATTTAGCTAAGCTAAGATTATAAAACTTGAAAGGAAATTTCTATATAAAAGATAAAAAATACATTATTAAGAAGTTTTATTTTTTGCTTACTTATGCGAAAGGTCAATAATAAATGCATTGATAAAATTTTCAAATAATTAAGTTTTACAAAGCATGCATTATGTCAAATTTCAATAAAGTAATTAATAATGAACAGTTCACAAAAAATATAAAACAATAATTCTGTTTAAAATCATATTTTAACAAACAAGGGAAAATAAATCAAAATTCTAATTAACAATTTCTCAATTAAATCTTTTAATAGGTCAATCATTAAATTTTGAAACAAAAACCAATTAAATAATATATAATTACCAAAGTATTACTGTCGAAAACCAGAGCGCCATAGATAGATGCCAACTTCAAAAATATTGTAATACAGTTGAAAATGAGATCCAGCAGTTCATATTGATTATTAAAATTTTTTATTTCTTCAATAAAAACCTAAAAAATACATTAAAAAAAATTTTGAGTGAAAAATTTTATAATTGCTATAAAAATTTATTTTTCTTAATTCTTCTGAAAAATATTACATTTTAATTAAATATCAATAATAAGTTAAAAATAAATAAATATAATCGGCAAAGTTAGATTATATAGAAGAACGTGTGCATGTCCTGTACAGATACACTCATGGCATTACTATCTACTATTGAAATAATAATTGTACATAATCTAATTACGTAATTCAATAAACTAACTAGTTTTGGAGGAAAGAACAGCATTTATAGTTTGTCTACGGTAAGAATTCCCCCCACCACCACAAAGCCTGAGGCCGTCTGCTGCTATGGAAACAAGAATAGCACATTTCAGAGAGGGTAGCTCCTTTTCACTCTAAGGCTAACACAGATGACCGAAGAAAAATATTTTCTTTTTCGCGCTGACTTGAGTCGAAACCTGTCCTAAACAATTACCCCACACCCCTACTTGAAGTAGTTATACCTCGTTACCATCACCGTCACGGATCCAGGCAATAGCTAAAGAGAGTTCTTACTTTACACAAGCTACATAGTAATTCAATTACATTGTATTTAAACTTGAATTTGAGTTTTTCCATTGTACAACAAATTGATTTAGGAAAAACTAAAAAAATACATCAACACAGGATTAAATAAGTGTAAACATTAAATAGGAATAACTAAAACTTAATTGGTAGTCATAATACTTGCCTTAATATATCTACTTTTTAAGCATGCAGCTTGATCATCTGTTGTCACTTGTAGGTTTGTTAAAACTTTATGCAAGACTCGCCATAGAGAAAAAATATCAGATGATGATCCACAGCTAAGAAAATATTTTCACTCATAAAAAATGCATATAGATTATTAAAATTATTAATTTCTGAAAAACTCCTTATGGCATCATTTCAAAAGGAATATATAACATTTCTTATAGTTAAATCAAAGTATTTTATTATAAAAATGGACCGTTCACAAAATATTTGAACTTTAAAATGGATTTTTACAATATTTTTTATCTTAAAATTGGATGATAAAAGTTTTTTCTTAAAAAAAAAAAAAAAAAAAAATTGGTAAATGGCATTAGTAAATCATAATTTTAAAACCACAACTCCTTGAAAGACATAATTTTTATATTTTTTATATAAATAAGGTTTTGGTTTATTCTACACTAATTTTGAATGCAGAAAACACAGGTAAAATTTTCCCAAATTCACAAAACATGACCTGTTACATAATTTAGAGAACACACCACTGGTTTGTGTAATTCAACATAAAATCACAAAAATAGGACCCTATTTTCAAACAAATTATATGCATATATTTTCCCCACTTTCACTAAAAAAAAAAAAAATTTTAAAAATTAATAAATAGTCTAGAATGACCCCAGCCAAACTTCGTGTAAAAGTTCAATATATTGTATGCGAAAAAGTATTATCTAATGAATATATATTGAATATTTTATTTATATACTTCACTTCTTTTAAAAAGGAACAAACCATTTTAACAATAACAATAATGAGATTTTTTTCAAATTTTTTTTTCTTTCTAAAGTTACTAACAATTCATTCAAAAGTTTCAATTTTCATTCATTAGTTCAACAGTTCATTCATTATGTTCAAATAATGAATGCAGATAAAAGATTGTAATATTTCAAAACAACACTTTGGAACATTTGACATAAAAGTGCTCTTTGTTCATTCTATTCTTTTTATAGTAGTGTTAACAAAGATTTATTTTAAACTAAAACCATTGTTTTGTTGTTAGATTATACAGTTAATCTTACAAAATTTAGTGCAGAGCATGAAGATATTAATTTTAAAATGGGCACAAAAAAATAACCAAATAATTTAGACATGAAAAAGTAAATTAAAAAAAAAACAGCGACAATCATAATTTATTATCTGCATATAATTCTATACATACTACATTACTTTGAATATTGATAAATATTTTGAGTTTTGTTTTGAATGATGGCCATTTTTTAAAAAAAAGCAATTCTAAAATGTCACCGAAAAGAAAGTTCACTGCATTTTTGCCCAGTTAATGGAAAAGTACCTTATTTACTTACCTTTTATTTGTAATGCAATTAATCAGCCAATCAATAATTTTTTCAAATACAACACTGGAATTGCATTTATTGGAATTGCAAAGTTGAATAATGATATCAAGTTTTTTGTCATTTTCATATGATCCATCTAATACGGCTTGCAATGCTATTGAATACAAAAAATATAAGTAACACAATAACGTTAATAAGAACAAAAACAAATTATTTAGATATCCTTGAATTGGCTGCTGAGCCAAACAACATACAATTAACAGTTTCAAATGCAAAATTATGGCTTAATTAAGCAAAGAAAAAAAATGTAGCTATGCAAAATATCTATATATAAAAAATGCAAGGTTTTTGAAATGTAAGGATAATTACTGTTGTTTTTAATCTTAATATTGCTGTCCATTATTAAATGCTTAACTATTACTTAGAAAATTCTTCTTAAAGTTCATAATAAAACACACCTGTTCATAAATGTAAGAATAAACAAACATGATAGGTATGTATAGGTAAATATAATAGGTATGAGAAAAAATTAAAATTATAAAATTTGCTTTTGAAAACCATTTGTAAAATAGGCAGATATTCGTATCAGTTCCTAAAACAAATTGCTCAACAAGATTAGGTGACAACTGTATATTGAGTGGCATGCTAGAAATTACAGAATTTTTTTTTTAAATAAAATAATTAAATAAACTAGATAGGTATAATTTGTAGTGAATTCTAGACAAATCACAATATATATTTTAATTTATAACAAATTACAAAAACCGGACGTTGCTACTTTGGTGAATGTAGTTGTTGCGAAAAGGAATAATGATACTTATCTATTTCTCTGATATAAGTACTTATAGTTATTTAATTAATTATAGCCAGACTACAGTGTTTTCATCATAGAAAAAAAATGGGTGAGAATTTCTCACCTTTTCTCAAAAACAGGGTGAGATTTCATAAACTTAAGTGAGACTTCTAAAACAGGGGTGATTGTGAGCCCAAGTCAAAATTCCGGAAAATTTCCCGAGTTTAAAAAAAAAATTTCAATTGAAAAAAATTTAAACTAGGTTTTTCTAGGAGAAGTAATTAAAATTTACAAATATGTCTTACTTTCTTGAGTTTATGATTATAACTATTTACTGATAAAAAATGTATCTGGCTCTCCCTTACAAACAAAATAAATTGTGTTTTTAAGTTCCACTTTTGAAAATTTGATTTCCGGAAACTTGTGCGATCAATGATTTTTTGAAACGTCTGGACCTTCGATCTCCGGAAACTTCCGAATCACTGTTAGCGAAAAATCCGGAAATCCGGATTTTTTCCGGAGCACAATCAGCCCTGCTAAAAACTAAAAAAACACAAAAACTCTTGGAAAAAAAAATAATTTCTTTAATTATAATACATTTTTAACATCTTTTATTTTTTAAAGCATTGAATATTTTTGGTGCATCATCATAGAAGACTTTGCCTTTACAAGGTATTTGTCCATCTTACATTAGCACATAAAAAATATGAGCGTCTTACATGAAGAAACCTAACCTACAGTAAACATGTGGTTGCAGAGAAATGTGTTCTGAAAGGGGTTCTGTGGTTGTGTTCTGTAGTTCGAAAAGATTTTGAACAATACTGGTGAATAGGGAAGTTAGATAACGGGGCAGATGTTGAAAATAATGAAAGATCCAGGAAGAAAAGTGAAACGGATTTTATTCTAAATGGCGTAATTCTAAGCTTTTTTTCGAAAATTCGAGAATTTTGATGCGAGAAAATAAAAAAATATGCGAGATTCTCGCGCTGTAGTGAAAACACTGGACTACTAATTTCAAGGAGCAAGGTTTGAGTAAGAAGAACAGCTTGTCAGAAGTCACAAGTTTGAAAAAAAAAAAAAATTGAAGATTGAAAAAGACTTGAAAGAGGGAAAACTAATTCAGAAGGGGAAGTTTAAGTTTGTAAGCTGTGAAAAAAAGGGTGTTTTTTCCTTTATTTTCAAGTTTATTTTAAACATTTAAGAATAATTTAAAGATAAATTTACATATTGATTGTTAGTGTATTTATTACGTATTCTTTCACCCTCATTATGCAAGTATTCTTGACTGGATATTGACATACATAAGACAGATCCAGATTAGATATTTATACATGAATATATGGAGCGAATACAACTGAGTTATGTTGTGGAGTGTAAAATACTCGTGTGGATTATGCTTTATTTTTAAAAAGTTATGTGATGCTTAATTTAAATCATATTTTTTTCTTGCTTAATAAAAGTTCTTTGCAAGTTCAAAGATGAGTTTTCAATTATGCTGGCTTAGAATTTTCTGTTACGTACTCAACTATTCCAGCAATTATTTTTATTTTTCAAATATTCAAATAAAATAAAAATTACGGCTTTTTATTGGCGAGATTTTAAGCTGTGTCAGCAAAATGGGCAAGATAACTCCAAGCACAAGAAAGTACCTGAACAGGATTGATATGAGGAAATTAACAACATCAATTCAACCTGGGGAAAGATTTTTGTATTTAAGTTGCCAAATTTAGGCTGCCTACCAGACAGTGCAAAATTATTTCTTAAAATTTTTGTAGGAATAAAAACCCTTAGTCGGTGTAGATAGACAGATTACAATATAGAAACTTTCCTAAGCTGCGAATTGGGTCTTGCTGCTTCTTATGAAAACGAAAATAACTGATTCATATTAAAGTGGAATTTAAGTATGAAAAAAAGTTCATTACAATCAGAGAAACAACACAATCAGATTTGTCACAATAAATGCAAAATTAATAATGCTTATTTTTAAAAAAGCTATTTTATATACCATTTTAATAAACTCTAAGCACAAGAACTAAGCAGCAATAGCGAGGATCAGTTACCAATATGAGAATATGCTGAAGTAAGATGACATATTATAATATATTGCATAATACTTAAATTATGTTATACGTTATTTGATTTGCTGCGATTTGGAAGGAATTTTCAGGTGGGTCGAGGTCAACCAATCCATAAATAAGGGTTAAAAAGTCATTACAATATGAAACATTGGTATGATTCTACGAAATATGAATGATCAGAATTCATTAAATATCGTAATAGTCTGCTAAATAAGGGAAGATTATAGCATAGGATAATAAGGAAGGATATTATTAGAAACATCAGTATAATTTCGTAGAACTGTACATTCATTTTAATTATTAACTCAAAGTAAGGATTTGAAATGAAAAATGAAGGGTACTGTAACGCCGTTTCAATTTAATAAATAAAATACAGCTCGAATATTAATTTTCAATATCAATTCAAACGAATTGAAATTGATAAATCCAAATTTTGTTCTTCAATCTAATTACCTCGTGCTGTAGTCATGTTGGATATTGCTGCTTCTGTTTGTTGACAAAATTCAGCACTTTGAAATGTCCAACCCGTTTGAGCGATTTCAACGGGATGTACGGATTAAGTGCTGAAATCGCGTATTCGAACGAGTTAAGGTTTAGTATTACGAACGAAACCCGTTCAAATTTCATCGACTCAATACACCTTATAATTATTTCGAACATTGCTGTTTCGCTATTTGGAAGCTTATTTAAGTTGTCAATATCCTTCTTTTTTATATTGAATAAAATTTGTACTTTTTCATAAATGCTCACGTAAAATGTAATTATTTAACAATCATTAATTACATACTCTTCTAAAATATTTTATTAATATAATTTCATTTAAATTTTTGTCTTTAAAGATTAAAGCTAAAAGTAAAAATAATTTGTTAGCATAAGTTGCTAAAATTGGTTCCGAAGCTATGTTTGTTTATTTACAAAATTGACCGTGTTGCTTTGTGTTGTGCTGAGTTCATTTCAGAAAAAAATTGCGCTAAATCGTGAAAATGTTGAAATTTTACAATCTCTTTTTGGATCCACTTGAGCACAGTTTTTTATACGTTCAAATACATATTTGAAAATAAAATTTGATGCCATTTGTTTTTTAAAATTATGCTTACATTATCGTGAAATATAAAAAAAATTGTGTCTAAATTTTGGCACACTTTGAAATAAGTTACTTGTTGGGAAGATAATTATGTCATTTCTCTTTAAAAATGGACATTATCATGCTCTTTTAAAAATTTGTATACCTCCAAACTTCAGAACTGAAAAATGTGCTTTTAGGTTATCTTCCTTTAGGTTTGTTTTGAATCCTTTCAGAAAAAGAAAAAATTATAAAACGGATGATCTTAATAAAACTTCTAGGGTGTGTGTAACAATATTAGGGAATGGTGCTTTTGGACAACCTCGTTGCATTGGTCTCTTTGCTAATGATAAAGTGTAAGAATTCATTTTTTTATTGCACATTCTTTTTTTTTTTCTATTAATTTCACATTCTTTTAATTTGATGTTAAACCAAAGATATGACGCATTTAATAATTGAACACTTTTGTATGTGTGTTACAAACTTTATTTTGTTTCACTTTAAGTCTAGAAATATTAGTATAATTAAGATTTCTGTATTGGTGTATATGTCAAAATAAATACCAAGCATGCGATTTCTGGTTAATGTACTCCGAGTAACTAATGAAGAAACAACCTAAAAGGTGACCAACTTTAAGTTAAATTCATGGCAGATGGAGTTTATATTTATAAATATTTGTTAATTTTTGAAAGTTTAATCTCCTTTTGACTTCTTTATGACTGCAGTTAGCATGAACAGATGCCAACACAGAAACTAACCTATTGTTAAAATAAATGTATAAATTAATATGGTTGCAGCCAACAGTACCCTAACTCTTCTGATCTCACCGATCTTGAACTTTACTCCCTAAAGAAATCCCAGCTTCTCAGGGACTGGCTGATTTCCCCCACACACCATTAGTACAAAGCTTAGAGGAGAGATTTGCATCGAGAGAACCAGTCCCCCTTCCCTTGTTGCAAAGAACATTGTCACGTGATTCCGGGACGATTTTCTCTCCAGTAAGCCCTATCCCCAGTCTTTTACTATAGAGGTGGATTGCAGAGCTTTGTTTTGAACAATAAAATTCAATGAAAATGGTTGAATACTGCTGTACATGTGGATGTGAAGAAAAATTTATAAAAGGAGGACTATTTACATTTAACAAATGAGATTTTTATTCTTTTATAGTCACTTTTAAACATTTATTTACAATTTGTATGTTAGCACGTTAGGTTATAGAATGAATTAAATTGGTTTGTAACTAGCAAAATAGCTATTATTTTTTAATATCCTTGTTTAAATTTAAAAAATTACAATGTAGTTAACATTTGTAAGTATTTTCATTACAATTAAATTTCATATTGCTACGAACATTCTGATATTTTTACTGCTTTTTTGATGAAGCACATGCACTGTTTTTGGCTTATTTTTTCACTCCAATATTTTGCAAAGAAATCGCTTTTTATTTTTGCTCTGTAACTTGTATTGATGCGTTAGAATAACTTTTTTTTAAATAATTTCAAGCGAATTTAATTATATAGTATAATTGTACAAACTTAAAAATATATAAAAGTACATTTTATGTTATACATAATTTTTTTGATCAAAAATAAAATTTTATTTAAAGCAAATTTATAAGCCAAAGAATACTTTGTTTTTATTATTCAGAAAATTATTTTATTATAAAGGAAAAATTGTTTGGATATTCAAATTTATTTAGGAAATTTTATATTAATATCAGGGTTGGCAAGGTTTAGGACAGAATGGATTAATCCACGGTTTAAACGCTGGTTTAAACCGTCCTGTCCAAAACTGTCTTAAATTGTCCAAAACCCTTTTACTCAAATTATGTCACAATTTTATCTGAACAATATTTAAGAAATAAATAAACATAGAACTAATAACATATTGATAATTAAATCTACTACAGAATATTTGTTTTTAAAAGTATAATGTTTTATTAATATTGTTTGACTCTTCAAGTTAAGCATTAAACAAAGGAAGATTAATCAGTAATCAAGTTCAATTGGTCCTCTCATTCAATAGTACATAACTGAAGTTGGACCTTGCCATACAGGTTAAGCCAGTGGTCCCCAACCTTTTTGTACCTAAGAGCAAATACCGGAATATTGGTCGAATGGTGGGCACCATTTATTTTTTCAAGATAAATTTATAGTTGGTAGACATAGGTAATAATACACACTGCATANAAAAAAATATTGTGAAAAATAAAAGGTTAATTTTTAAACAAATTTAGTATTTTTTTAAAAAAAATTATTATTTTTTAATATTGCATTATTTATCCTTGTGCAAAAATATCATTTATCAGTATTAAAAGCATATTTATATTTAAAGGATTAGGTATTCACTTTTGTTGTTCAATGAATTATGGAGGTTCAAAAATTATAAACCTTTTCCTATTATATTATATTATTTTCTTTTAATAAGTTAAAGTAAATTGTATATAAAATATCAAATTTTTATTGATACATGTAATTATTATGTGTACAATGGCTACACCTATAAAATTTAAACTTTTACCAAAGTTCAAGGTTTTGGACAGTTTTACCCAGTTTAGGACAGTTTTACCCAGTTTAAGACAGTTTTACCCAGTTTAAGACAGTAAAACCTACGTGTCCTGTCCAAAACCAGTTAAGGACGTCCAAAACCACAACCCTGATTTATATATATTACTGTATATTTATTATTCAGGAAAATATTAACTAGATTATTGTAGGTTCTATTATTAATAATAAGTCCTATTATTAATGAATTATTATAAGTTGTCAAAGGTGTGGCTATTTTTTATTATTATATGTATTTTATTTTGATTTCAGAAAATAAAAAGGGAATAATTCTCTTCTTGATTATCAAAAAAAAAATTTTATTTATAAAATTTTAATTAAGTCGAGAACTATCAATGTTTCAAACAACAAGTAGATATGTTCTTAAAAGGTATTTAGTAATTCTTTTTTTAAATAAAGAGACAAATAACAAATCCTAAATTTGTTAGTTTAGTTATACTTTTATCATCTTGTGTTAACTTTCTGAAATTTTAATTTCATACATTGGTTAAAATAAATAAATAAATTATTATTGCATGACAGACAAACTAGGAGCACAAATTGTGGAGCATTTAGCAGTATTAATATTTATTTTAAAAATAAAACAAAATATTTTGTTTTTATCAGAAAAATTATAAATTATGAACAATACTAAAACCATTAAAAAGTTATGCAATTGTCCTGTTAAATTTTTTTATTATTATGCGTAATCTCAATAAAAAAAAATTTATGCATTGATAAAATTAATTATAATCGTGTAATTTATAACTTCAGTTCAATTCGGTTTGTATTATCGATTCAAAAAATCATTATTTTTATTTCATTGTTTGATAAAATCATATAATAATATTATTAGCTTTTTATGATTAAGCAATTAAAAGTAAATAATTAAATGTAGCGCACATATTATAATGTATTTTGATTTGAAAACTTATCTTTTACAATCACAAATGAAGTTGGGAAAGCATTCAAAATATTAAAAAAAAGGGAGAGAAAAATCTTCAGGTACTCTTAAAAATATTCATATACGATGCGACCGCCAGCTATGAATTTTTCGCCAAAAAGGTAACCCCCATCTTTGGACAAATTTTCAGAGCCCAAACAATAGACTGGCTATCTCTACCCTAATATCTCCACTAAGGTACAAAGCAAATAAGCCTGGAGTTTATGTGACTGTTCCCTTTGAAAGGAGAGTCTGCACAACTCTCTCCCGCCTAGCTACCGGCCATCTAAAAGGTTTACTATTTTCTGAGGGTACTAAAACCTACCCCCTCTGCCCTAAGTGCCATCTACACCGGGCTTCTGCCAATCATATCCTGGACTGTCTTGGTCTTCTCTGGGAAGACATCTAATCTACTCCTCATTTGGTCTTCGATTTCATTCTGGTCAATGGGTTCATAGATCTGGTCTGACTTTGTCAGGCCAGATGGGGATAAGCAACAACAACATAAATTAAAAAATATGTATGTTTACTGTTAAGAATTAGAAACTTTATGTTTCTCAGTTTTAAAATAGAATCCTAATTTCATACAACATTTTGTTCTGTTTGTAAATTATTATTTCCATTTATTTTGAAATGATATTTTTGTTTTAAGCAAAAGCTTTAATTAGGGGAAAAACTTATTAAGGATAGTTATCACTTTCCTTCAAAATATTTTATGCAAAATTTTAACTTAGCAAATAATTTAAAATTTAATAAAAGTTGTAATTGAGCTTATTTAAGGGAAGATTCGTGTATTGGTAACTGTGCCAAAATAATCACTAAGTTTTGCTGACTTCCTGGAATGTGCTTACTTAAAAAAATATATAATGAATCATAAAGGAGGATCTACTCAAAGGACTTATAACCATTATTTATAACCACCCCAAGTGAGTTTTCCTTTTTAATATCTGCTAGCTTAAAATTTTTTTGATCTCTTGGCAATTGTAGTTGGCAAGCACAGGTATGAATATGGAAATATCCTTTAATTTAAATTTAAGCTTTAAAAATACAAATCTCTCTTTATTTTCAGATTTCTAAAAACATAAATAATTATGTGTTATTTTTTGATACTTTAATTGTTTATTAACTTGAGTGAATAGAGTACCCCTTTCCTAAAAGACAATGTAAGCATAATTAAGTTTGAATGAATTATTGTGTTTATATTTTGCTAGTTATAAAGCTAAAATGTTTATTTAGGTTCCTTTTAATTCATGTTCTATTTTTTTTTTTAAGTTCGTTTAGAAATTGCAGTGCTTTTTTTTTCTTCCCAATACCCACCTGGAGAATGACCTAGATCATACAGGTATCTGAAGGGCAGATTTGTTGGCCACTCTTTCAGGGGCACCATATTAGGTGGGCCAACAGTAAGGACAGATAGTACAGAGAATGAAAGAACATTCCTCCCTTTCCCGGGATTCAAACCCAGAACCTTTCTGATGCAAGGGCAATTCCCTAACCCCTACACAGGCCGGTCGGCAATTGCAGTGCTATTTATTATTATTTGGTGTGTAACTTAATGTACTGTATAAATATGGATGAGCAGAGTAATAAGCAAGTTAGCTGAAATAGTTATTGATAAACCTTTAGTTCAAGTAAATGTTGGACTACCATTTTTTTAAAAAATTCTTTTATAATAAACTCACTCATTTTAAGGATTCTTATATGATAAATTCACATATTTTATGGATTCTTTTATAATAAATTCACTTGTTTTATATGGATTCTTATATGATAAATTCATTTATAAAAGGAATTCTTTTATGATAAATTCACTTATTTCAAGAATTCTTGTATGATAAGTTCACTTATTTAGATTTTACTGATTTTAAATAATTTTAGATACGACGTTAAATTTGTCTTAAATTTCATACCTTTTTCTTTATAGCTTCTTATTCAATTGTGGCGAAGGTATTAGCAGACTTTTACGAGAATATTATTTTGAGTGAGTTACTGCTTTTATAACGCTTATTCTAATTGTATTATACTCTGTTATTTATATTGGCCTTCCTTACTTTTTTGACTAAATGAGAAGTCGGAAATTTTGACTTTTTTATTTTGTATCTATCATTGAAATTGGAATAATTATAATAAAAAAATGGTGGAAAAACATATTACATTGCATTTTAATAAATATAAAGTCAGCCTGAAACATCTGAAATTTATTTTTAAAACATATAAATGCTTTAAAATAATTTTTTTTATATAAAAGTTTTTAAATAGATTTTTGATCAAATTCAGAATTATTAGAAGCTATGGTTGGGTATTTTATTTTAATTTCGGTATTACTAACACCGAAATTAACTAAATGACCAAACAGTATCTGATTTCGAAAACTTAGGAAGGTATAAGTAGACTTTTTAATTCAACATATTTTCAAACTAAACAATTTTCTATTAATTCTAAAATTATTTTTTCTCTAACATATATGTACTTGTGTTGTTAATTATTTTAATAGCTCATTTTTCATATCTTTAATGGTATTTATAAGATTATTTTTAATTTCAGATCTGGTTTCAGTCAACTTAGAAATGTTTTTATCACCCATAATGACTGGTGCAACTTAAGTGGTATTGGTGGTATGTTACATATTGCTTTTTTTTTCCCTCGCATAAATTTATGCTATTTTTTTATAGATTTATTGTTTGCAAAATAACAAATTAGTTGGAGAGGTGAAGTAAATGCAAAGAGAGATTTTTCATTGGCTCATAATAGGGTATTGTACTGAGGTATTGTAAGCAGATGTGTGGCGTAACTACCACTACAAATATTAAATAACAAATCACTAGTATATAAGACATGTTAACTTTAATACATCTAGAGCATGGGTTGCCAAACTTTTTTCATCATCGACCCCTATATAATTTTTCGAAATCTCCANTTTGCCGACCTCTGATCTAGAGGTACCTTTTGGTACATGAAAGTTGATTTAGTCTAAGATTATATTCCTACAATGGTGACCCGTGGATGTGATATGAACTCGCTAACATGATGAATGGTACACATTAAACAGTTGATTTGCTTAATATAAAAACTGCTCAAAGAAGAAAAAAAAAGAGAGAGATCTGGTGAAGTAAATAAAGTCTCTCAGTAATAAACAATACAGAAAAAAAATGAGCGAAATGCTATAAACAAAAGTGAAGGAAAAATAAATAAAAAATGAGCGAAATGCTATAAACAAAAATAAGAAAAAATAATGAGCAAAATGCTATAAAAAAATATGAAGAAAAAAAATGACCGAAATGCTATAAGCAAAACAAAAAAAATGAACAAAAAAATATATAATGAGCAAAAAATTGATATAAATAAATAAATAGCGTGAATCAACTAGTGGTATTCATTCATCGAATTCTATCACAGATAAAATTCGGGAAGGGGAGTAATGTGGCATAACTACCACTACAAATATTAAATAACAAATCACTAGCATATAAGACATGTTAACTTGAATCCATCTAGAGGTACCTTTTGGTAGATGAAAGTTGACATAGTCGATAAATTTAATCCCCACAGATGTATGTTTGAGTAGCTGAATTTGATAATTAAAAATAAACTTCAAGTTTGCTAGTAATAAAACTTATTTTAAATTTATTATTTAAAGTATCAAATTACATTATTGATTGTGTGAATAGATGGTTATTTTCTTGTCTATCTTGCTTAAGTGATGTAAGGAAAATATTTATTGTGCATATTATTTTTCTCTTTATTATATTTCATATGTAACAGAGTGATGAGAAGAAAATTTAAAAACTTTAAATCATTTACCTTTTCATTATGTTTCTTATGTTGCCAAGTAATATGAAGGGGAAAAAAATTAAAGGATGCTTACTTCTGCTGATTGTCTATAATTTTTATAGATTTAAATTCTGAATAAGGAGTGCTTTGTGATCTATGTAAAAGTTCACTTTTCTAAATTTCTTTATGACCTTGTATTTTCTTTTCCTTCAAAGTACAAATGCCTCCCTATTATAAATTAACTTTTTGATGATTTTTTCTATTTTAATGTATGGTCAAACTATTTGTTATTACTGACAGTGATTTACTAATGTTGATTATTTATACTATTAGGTTCTACTGCAAATGCATGTAACCATATTCCATGGAGGATGTACGAATTTTATTTATTTATTTTCATTATTATTTTTAAAAGCGTAATTGAATGTTCGAATAATTTAAACTATTAGTGTTTTCTTTTTTGGATGTAAGGAAATTTTCATATTTGTAAAAACTTTCTATCAAATTCTATTTCTCTTATTATTTAGGTGTTACCTTTAAAAACTGAACTACTTTAATATCATAGTATAACCTAAAAATACGAACTGCCGGAGTTTTAAATTTTAGAATTTTCTAGATTTCATATGTCTCATTTAGAGAAATAGAGATGTCAAAGTTATGAGACTAAAATTAAATAAAAATATGTTTGATTGCATCATAAATTTAGTTAGTTTGTCGATAATTTTTTCTGCAGTAATTATTTAAATTTTTTCTAAAACCTTGATGTTTTTAATAGTACAATTATATTACAACATCACATTTAAGTAATCCTATTTTGACGCTCTTGATTCAAGACAATTTCATTGCAAATCCATGTAATTTTGTCGACTGTTTTTCCTGCAATTATTGTGATAAATTTCCTTGTGGTTTTTAATATTTTGATGTATTTGATACTAAAGTTATTTTTGAGACTTTTTTTATTGAATTTCATGTTGAACATTTGGCCAATCACACTTCACGCTCCTAACAATTATTTTTATTATTTCTCTTGGTTTTGACTACATCATTTTAAAAACACTTACTATTTAATACAATATTATTACAACATATAGATTTCGACATCTAATTAATTTTTTTACATTTTAAAGTTAATTTTTTCTTTTCACAAATTCTAGCAATTGTCTAGTTTCTACAGTAGTCTGNAAAGTGCGAGCTTTGCGCCAAAGTGACGTCACTAGAGTGACGTCGGAGGATCGGCGCGGCAAGAGATACTTCAAAGGAGTGAACCAGCCCTTCTATTCTCTTTAGCCCTGAGTTTCTACAGTACTCTGTATTTTAGGAATCCAAATTTTTGCTGATGTTTTGTTATAATATTATTTTATTATTAAATGAATGTAATAAATTACTTATAATGCAATTTAAAAAAATTTACAAAAGATATTTCTTAATAAAATATTGTTTTGCCGTTTTTAGATATTCACATCACACATGAATCATTTGGAATATATAAAATGAACATTTTTGGTCCTCCTGGAATTGTAAGTTTATTTTATTTAATAATAATTGAAATTTTTGACTGTTTTATAAGTGACACATTATTAGTTATGATTTTTAAGCATGTATTTAGAATATACAAGTATTACTAATATTATGGGTCATAAGCAGGGTTGGCATGATTTACTAACTACTAAACTCAGTGGCATGACATCCCATAGAGGGCCAAAGCCTACTGTGCCCATCTCAGTTTTCTTGAGCTTGGGCTCTGGGGTGCAGGAGCAGATGTTTCGGTCAGGTGGTCAGCCGAAGGCGGAATACCCAGTGCTTAGTTCCCAAGCATGCTTGGTACTCATTTATCGACCCACTAAAGGGATGAAAGGCTGAGTCAACCTTTCCCAGCCCGAGGATCGAACCCAGGACCTGTGGCACGGGAGTGTTAAGCGCTACCACTCAGCCACCGGGCATCGGCATGAATTAAATCACTTGATTAAAATCACAAATTTAATCAATTATTTAAGTCTATAATATATTTTACAATAATTTATGAATATACTCTTAACAATGTTTCATTTTTAAAAATCTGATTTCATTTATGGTGAACATCTTATCTTGACAAATATTGAGAGAGGACTGTATTTAACTATTATTTCATATTCAAAATCGAATAATAAAAATGAGATACTAAATGTGAATAAAAGTGACATGAAGCTTTTAATGTAACATTTTCTTTCGGTTGTAGGTAAAATAATTTGCTCTTTAAAATTCAAATATTTTAATTATACCCATTTAGTTTCATGTTTATTTAAATGTAAGCGCTTAACTTATTAAGTATGCATCTATAAATAGTGAAGGAAAATTGTTGTTCCAAGGGTGTGTGTATATATATATTTATTTCCTGAAAAATTTTCATTCTTTCATTTAATGTTCTTCATTTGATATCTAGCTGATAGATTATGATTTTGTTTTTGGAACTTGAACAAAAATAACTATTTAATTTATTTAGAGATTAGTTTGTAATAATTATATACATTATGATTTTACCAGTTTTTAAATAGAAATTTTTGAGTAAACTGTCAGTTGTAATATTGCTTTTAAATAATATTTAGTATTATCAATACTCTTTGATTGGTGAATGTGAACGTAAACCTGATTTCAATAAAAAAAAATATCTGACTGACATAAATAAAAAGCTGATTTTTTTTTAATTTATTATTTTTTTAATCATGATTTTTGCCAAACCTTGTTATATGAGAGACACTGTTAGCAATTTAACTTTTAAGATACAAAAATTTATGTTTTTGACTTGTTAAAAGGAAACTTCTTCCATATTATCAGTGCACTTTTGAAAGGAAATATCTTTTCTGTTATACCTTAAAAAATTTTTTTAAGGAAAAGAGCAAAGAGAACATTCTTTCACATAGTGCTAAAATTTTTACTCTTTGCATTTCTACATGATCATGCAATTTTAATTAATGGTTACATCTCCTCTTTCCATACACAAGAAACAGTATTTTCTACACATCAGTTTATTTAATAATTCTTTAAACAGGCCATTTGGTATCACTGATAAAAACTCGGCAAAATTGCTATGACTTTAATCAGTTGATTAAATGTGGGGTTGACCTTTATTACAGAGCACTTTCAGTTCATCAACAATTGTATTTAAATTAAAAATTTAGTTTAATGTAAAAGGAAGGAGTTTATTTTTCATTTTTTGAACAAAATATTAAGGTGCTGCCTTATGATTGACAGTATTATTATTATTTTTATTATTATTATTATTTGCAACCATGCTATGTCTATACTGTAGTCTTTTTTCCTTCTTTAGAAGAATGGAACAAAATAAAGTTTTGATCTGTAATTTGATTCCTTTTGATAATTTTTTTATTTGACTTAAAATTAAAAAATATCTCATTATAAAGTTTTGTTATAACCAGGGCAGGAAAATTATGCCTGGGTCATGTAGATTAAGCCCTTTTCATATTCTATTGAACCCTACAAAGATGACAGAATGATAAAAATAGTAAGGTAGATTGAATATAATCTTCATAGTGTTATTGAATATAATCTACAAAAAAAGGATTTTTTAAATAAGGTAAACTTTTTTATTGCTCCGACATATTGCTCCTAGGGCATACACTTGCCGGTAGTACTTAATATTTTTTTAAATATTGCTTCCCTGTCAATAATGTTCTGCATTTACTCTTATCAAGGCTGAATATTTTCTTGTTAATTGCTGCTTCTTTATTATTAATAATTAATATTTCTGATATATTCTATAGTAAAATTGTTCATGTGGATACAATGTTAATGTAATTTTTTTCAACAGATTAATAATCGGTACATTTGTATAGGGTTTTGTAAATGATGTCACCAGATGGCGCATAACTTTTCTTTTAAGTTTCTGATAATTATTATTTGGAATTTATGAATCCATATTTTAGAGAAGCATCATCTTGACAAATTATTGAATTTACCACAAAAACATTCATACATTTTCATTAATATTCAATCAAAAGATGATATATTCAATATAAAAATTTTGAGATTTTTTCGATTTTTCTAACAGCCTTTTGCTGTATATAGCTGAATGAATGTTTACTTATAACCTTTTGAAGCTATACCTTTTGACATGATTTTAACCTTTCAATATTTTAGGAGTATTTCAATCTCTTGCTAACTTCAGAAATCAAAACCGCAAAAATTGGTATGTTTTCATAAACTTTTGATTCTATTACATCTTACTTTTGAATCTTAAGTGCTAAATTGAAACCAAAAAATTATTTTTAATTATTTTTTTCAGTTAGAAGAGAGAAATACATAAGTAAAGAAGATGACCTAATTGAAATAGACTCAATTTGTATCCATGCTGATCCTCAGAGTTATGCCAAAAAAAGTAATAAAAGATTTAAATTATTTCTTACATAAATATTTATTGTTTGCATGTGCATTATATATATTGTAATTTATTGTTTAATATGCCGAATATTAAAAAAAATTCCTTCTAAAATCGTGATTTATTTTTGTCTTTTTTAATTATCTCATTTACCAAATTATATTTTTAATTCATAAAAATAAAAGTGGTCTTGCATCATCCTTCTTTAAATGTCTTTCAGTAAAGGGGAATGAGCTATAAAAGTAATTAAATTATTTATTTATATGAGAAGCTTGTTGATCTTAACTTTAAATTCATGGAATCAGAATTTACCAGTGTGAAATAAGTAAGTTTTGGCAAAGGTTCTCTTAAAAAAATACTAATAAACAATGCTGGGTGAATGAATATGAATTATGATTGAAATAATACACATTCTTTAAAGTACATAATGTTAACCCTCCAAGCATGGAGCCCCTGGGTAAAATTTCACAGAAATGTTCCTCTTACGACACACCTTTACGATTTCTTTTACACTATTTTCCCATTCGATAACATGGAGAAACCGGATTTTTGATGTAAAAAGCCAGTATATGAAGGTTCGAAAAAAGCCACAGAGGTCAGAGTTACTTATTGTTTTCATTTCCTTTCAATATGATATTCTACAATTAATATCATTACAAAAATATTTTTTAGAATGAACAAAAAAAAATAATTTGTTATTTAATTACACAAAAGAAAGTTTGCACTTTATTTTTGAATTAATTTTTTTTGTGGAAGGAAGGTACATTTTACTGTTTTTGAAAAAGTAATGCATGTAAGGCAAGTATAATGCATGAAACCTTATTAGATAGCATCAAAACGGTTGTAAACTTTTATTCATGCTTTTTACATTTTATTACAGCTATTAGATATATTTATGTCTATAAATATTAATCAGAATTGTAAATTTAAACTAACAAAATTGACTGTTAGATTTTATATTTTATGTCAATTATTGTTAATTTTAAAATTAAATCTTTTGCGTGATTTTTGAAAAACAGTTATATTAAGCATACATGAATAAACATTCTTTGAATATTTTTTTGTAGGTATTAATGAAGTAATATTTTCATATGCAATCAAAGTAAGTATTATAATGATTTGAGCTATTATTTTTAATTTATGGTCTACATAAATGATAATTTATGCAAAGCTTTAATTCACAAAATGTTTTTGTTTTTTTTAATTTGTTTAAACTTATTGCTTTTTGATATCTGCTTTGTACAGAGTCTTATTTCATACTAAAGCTAGAAATAAATTTTGAATGTTTTGGTGATTGAATATAAATGTAAAAATACGAAAATATTTCACAATTGCAATGTTAAAAATCTTTTTAGAATTTTTAGGATAAAATGTTTCTTAATATAGGAAGATGCTATAAGGATATAAAAAATTTCAAAGCAGATAAAACAAAAAATAGATAAAACTATTAAAATTAATTTTTTTTCAAAATCTTATTATATGTTTGATATTTGAATTTAATATTGTTCAACTTTAGTATTTAATGCTATTTTTTATCAGAGGCATTTAATTCAGATGAGTAATTAACTGATTTAAAAACTTTTTGATGTATATTTTTTTAATAAGAGTAAATATTAATGTTTAACAGATACTTGAAATGCCTCCTGAATTAATACCAGAAAAATTAGTGGAACACAGGGTACCAATGTAAGTATTTTTTATATTATTTTATTATATGAACTTTCTTATTTTGTGTAAGTCATTTATGTAAAATGAAAAAGTAAACAGATAAAACACTGAATATTATTTGGCATTTTAAATTACTTTATTCTAAATTTAAATATGATATTAAAATGGTTTTAATATTTTTTTTAAATAATATTTAACTCTTTAAAAATTATGATGCCAAAACAATTATATATATTTTCTTGCTACAGGCTCCTTTAACTTATTTGTTGAAGGAAATGAAGAAAATGCTTTTTTTTATTGTTTACTACATTTTCTGGAATAGAAGAAAGCTATTGAAGATGTTGGTTTGTGGAGGTTGGCTTCAGCTTTTCATGTCAAATCTACTTGTAGCAGTAACAATAAGTGATACTGCTCACAGAGCTGAATAAAAAACTTTAAAAGAAAGAAAAAAGTTTCAAATACAAAATATTAAGGGGAAAAAATGCAAATTTTACTACCAGAAAAAATTACAATTTATAAGAAACTGAAAATTAATTTTAAAAAAATGCAATTTTATCACGAAAACAATTCGGATAAGCCTTTCCACCGCATAATCTCTTCACTTCTCCCCTGGTACTGACAATAGCTCTTAGTAACAATTTCTAAATATGTTACATTCCGTCTCTATAAAGAAAATTGTTCCTGCAACAGCCTTCTCTGAGCCATGGGGATCATGGAGGTTGAGGCTCCATAATTTTTACATGATAATTTTACATTTTTACATACCATAATTTTTACATTTTTGAATATTCAGCATGATTGTGGAAATGCCTTCAAATTTATGTATAGGCCGCCTTTACTTACCAGTCAAGCTGATATTCATCGATCTGAAGCTGGTGGTGCCCCAAGCCACCTGTGAGGATCGAATTCCAGTCCTTTGCAATGATAGCTCAGTGCGTTCAATTACTGAACCATCGCAACTTATTTCATCTCTTTATAGCTTTTTGATTAAAGCCTTTTATAAACAAAACAACATAAATCCGGTTTCATGTACCTTATATAGTGAAATAATATCTTTATTTTATTTTAGAGATGGGTTACATCTTTCAAAACTGAAAAATGGAGAGGATATAACACTAAGTTGTGGGAGAACAGTAAGATATATATTTTATGTTTTTATATCTAATAAAAATAATTTTAATTCCCATAACAAAAAATACACAAATTTGCTTAGTCAGTTTTCTCACTTTACATTTTTCATAAGTAATTTTTTATTATTTGTTTTCATTTTACTACCTCAGACATGTAATGTTTTTTTTTTTTTTTTTTTTTTTTTTTTTAGTATTTTGGCTGAATTAAGTTATTTTTGAATATAAGTTATTTCATTATTTTTATGTGCTTCATTAATATTTCAAAAAATATGTTGGCAAATTAATGTCTCAATATTTTGACAAATAAATGTATTAATATCTCAAAAAATTTGTTGGCAAATTAACATTGCCTTGTTATTTCAGTAACTGTTGTTTTAGTAGAGTCACATGTTTGCTACCTTTAAAAATAACTGAAAGAAAATTCTTGAAATACACATATTTGTGTTATGTTTTCAACTGTTACTTAATTAAATTTAAGTATTATTTTTTAACAATTTTCAGAGTTCGAACCAATAAAAACAATTTATGTTTAGATTCTGAATAACTTATATTTAGAGTTCTTCTTATAATTTTAAAAATCTTTCATATTCTTAAGTTATAAAATTACATACTTATATTTATTTATTTTATCACTTTATGATTTAAAATATAGAATTTCTTGAGTTCTGGACCATGTTCTCCTTTTCCAGTGTTATGTGATGAATTTTTATGTGGATTTTAATTAATTAATAGGTACAATCTTTTAGATACGTGCAGCTGATGTTATTAATCCTCTGAACAAAGAAGAAATACTTCTAGGTATGGTATTAACCTTAGATACATTTATTTTATATTTTAAAAAAATTATTAAATATTAAAATGAACGCATCTTTTTCAAAATAAATTTCCGAATTTTTTTTTATCAATGCCATTCTTAATTTGTATATGTAACAGTCAGTGTGAATAGTCAATTATTTTTTAATATTAACCGGTCAATATTAATAACCAAATAAGCCGGTTAAAGTGAATAATTTAAGAGAATTTATCGCAATAATTGTTTATTATTAATAAATAATATTATTAATAAATGTATATATTAAACAAAACTTTGAAAGAATCCCACTAACATTCAAATGTGTCCCCAGAAGGCATATAAAGTTACCAAGCAGGTAAAATTAATGTAAATGTTTAGTTAAATTGTTAAGTAAAACACTATAGTGCTAGAGCAATAATTAAAATATCTGTTTAATAATAATTAAATATCTGTAACCTTGTCTAAAGCAAGCACATTTTTTTAAATGTTATCAGTGATATCTTATTTTATAATTAGAGTTTTAGTAAAGGGAAAGTGCTGAAAAAAGATGTAATACCACTCATTTCTTCAATAAATTCAATTTCCTGTATTTTTTATTAATTGTAAAGTTTGTTTTAATTTATTGTAAAATTTCTTTAACTTTGTAAATAAATTTTTAAAACTTTAAAAAAAAATCTTTCATATTGATTAAAAATTAAAGTTTTTTAGTGGTTTCATTAGTTTTGTATTATTCAAAACCCTTTGCATTTTTTATAAGCATTGTTCTCTTTGTTTATATCAAATGATTGAAAACTTCTGTGCCTTAAATAAATTGCATCAAACAAAAGTTAAATATTGTTAAATGTATGTAAGACTGCTGTGGAATGTGACTAATAATTAACTGCAGATAAGTACTGTGAGCAATTTACTTAACTAATCTTGGAATCCATTGAAAACATGCACATTTGGTCAGACTTGGTCTTTGGTCAAAAACATACATCTGGTTTCAGTACATGTTGCTCAACTGACACTACAAAAGACATCCCCTGCATTTACCTGACTTTTTTAAATCTAATTTCCATACATCATTTAACACAACTAGTTAATAAGTTTCGCATAACTTTTAACCCTTTTTTTTTCTTAGCGGACTAATTTTAACAGCATTTTTCAAGGATCTTTTATGAAGAAAAATAAGAAAGCCATGCTTAAATGCCTTCCACTTAAGGAAAAGCTATAATTTTAAACTATATATATATATATATATATATATATCATCTTGCCATAATGGATTATCTAGGTTTCAGAATGGACAAATAACTTAAATATCTTAAAAGCTAGTAATTTTTTTTTTCAAAAATTGCCAATTTAGATAGAATTTTCCACCCTAATAAAAATTTTGAAAATCAAAGAATGATTCTTAATTTTTACACATTTTTATGAGTTTAGATAAGGTAGTGTTTGAGTGACGTTTAATATTTAAGCAATTGATTACAAATGGTTTTCCTCTTATAGTTTAGTCAAAGAAAAATAATAGATTACACATTATTGATAAATAAATACATTTTGTGAAAGTGTGTTTTGCTTCATAATCTTAAAATCAGGTTTTGTAGTCAGATGTAATTAGTTAAGTTTGTAACTTGTATTGTATTTCATTTTATTTAATTCAAATTTTACGTGAAAAATAATGAGCTAATATTGTAAATTAACTAGTACTTAATTTTTTAATTACTATTAAAAAAATTTATAACAATGATTTTAATAAATATAATTATAAATATTTTTAGCCATTAAAATTGGTTTTATCATTGCAGTCGTTGATTGTCCTTCAGAAAAATTTTTGTCAGCTTTTACGGAGAATGAAGATTTTAATGAGTATCAGTTACCCTCTGATAAAGCTTCTCTAGTTTCCACTATTTTTCACTTTTCCCCTCCTAAGGTTGTAGATACAAAGATGTATCAAGATTGGATGCATAGGTCAGTTACTTGAACATTTTCCTATTCCTAACTCAAGTGTAGTAAAGTAATAATTTCTGTATGAATGTATTTTCTATAATATATTATTGCTCTTTATAAAAAAATTTAAATTTTCTACTGGTTTACTGTTAGACTTTTCAGTTCAAATTTATCTATAGTGCTTAGTTAGAATGAATTTCAAGATAAAGTAGCTTTAGATTGAGCTTATGTTTCATCTATCTATTAGATCGCACAGAAAGTTATTTTTTTAAACCTATTTCTTTATTTTGATATTCTTTTATAGTCAATCATTATTAAAAATATATCATATTGTTATATTATGATGCCTATTTAATTGCACCAGTGAAAAAATGTTTTTCTGCATTTATACAAGTACTTGATCTTGCCTAATTTGAGTGTGAGGATTTTAAATCTAGAAATAGCTTTGTTCCTAAACCTACGAATTTTTTTAAATGATATTTTTAATCCATTTTTTGTTGAAGTTAAAAGTTTAAAAATGTTATACATAAAAAGGTGTCACATAAATGTTGCAACAAACTTCTAGGGGAGTTAAAAGCACATCATCTGAATTGCATAAAGATGCATACTCAGAAATGTCATCATACACGTATAGGGGCACTTTTCTATTATGACCTGTTCAAAAGCACACAGTTTATAAAGTTTACACAGTAAAGAAGCAGTTTATAAAAGGGAAGCCCCCCTACGTCAGATGACGATATATCCGGTCATGGGTTCCTATCCAATTTTAATCCTAATGGTATGCTCTAACTCCTCTAGAAGTTTGTTGCATCATTTACGTGACCGCCTGTAATATATAGCTTTTTTAAACTTGTCTATTTCAATAAAAAATGGCATTTTAAAAAAAACTGTAGCTTGAAGAGAGAAACCTATTACAGATTTGAAATTAACGATATGATCCAAGAATCTCATGCAACAGAAAACAAAGAAAAAGTTGTTCCCAGTCTCATTGGATTATAATTGTATTTTAAATTAATAAAAATATAAATAAATGTAAATTTAATAAAATATTACATTTCAGTAAAACAGTTAGAGTCATTAAAAGCTTTTAAGTTTAAGTAAATAATTGATAATTTTGCTAAAGAATGTTAATTAAAATTTAAGTAATCGATATGAATAAATTTTTCATGCCAATATGGTGACAAATGTAGAACATTTGACGACAATTGGTGCCTACACGGCGTCAATTGTCGTCAAATGTTCTACAATTGTCTCTAAAATCATATGCATGGGTTGAAATTGAATATAATTATAAAATAGTAATGAAAAACAGTTTTTTTTTTCTCATCGAATTTTATGCTTTTAAAAAAAGTTTTTACTAACTTTATTGAACTGCGTGTAGATTAGGTTTTAGTTCAGTTATATTTCAAATGAAATAACCATAAGTGTCTTTTATGAAAATTTTTACACATTGGAATATAAAATTTACATGTGATGTGCTTTACATTTGTGTACTGACAGTATTATAAAGTTCATGAATAAAACATAATTTTTTACTCCTTTTGAATTTACTTGATTTAGAATTTTATAATTTTTAGATAATTAATTTTTAATATAATATTTTGTTAGTTCTTATTTTCTATGTTTTCCTCATTTATTTATTAAGTTTATCTCAGCATTTTAAACTGTATTTGAATCTATTTACTAATAAAATTTTAGCCTTTTTTCACTTAATTTTAAACTTCAATCATTATGGGAAAATAAACCTAATTAGTTTTAGTGAGCTCCAACCGATCTATGTAGGTGCCAGGGAACTGGCCTTAAATCAGAAAAGTTCTGGGTTCGAATCCCAAGCAACGCATGCATGTTCTTTCATTCTCTGTACTATCTGTCCTTACTGTGGGAGCAACGTTTGCTCACCTAATATGGTGCCCCTGAAAGAGTGGCCAACAAATCTGCCCTTCAGATGCCTGTATTGACGAAATGTCATTCCCCAGGTGGGCATTCGAAAAAAAAAGTTTTATTAATAAATGGCAATTAATAATTTCTGATGTGTAACGTAGCATGAATTATGCAGTTGTAAAGTTCGATTTTTCTTAAGTTTGTCTACCATATTAACATTTTGGATCACTAAATGCGTACCTAGCAAATGCATAATAGTTTTATTAGACCTTTAGATTTTCATTGCTTGTGTTAACCCTAGATATGAATAATGAATATTGTGGAATTAAGAGACTGAAAGTGTTTTATTGCCTGTATGGTACTTTCATTCAGATTATTAAAAAGGAAAGTCGATTAAAATTCTTTTGTAATGATGGAATATTATTAAATATGATATATTGTTGTTTAAATTCAGCCAACTGCTCTAACCATAATAACCTATAGTTATTTAAAGCTTATAAATGATTAATCTGTCTAAGTTTTAAATTAAGTAATTCATTTTTCTTTTTTATTCAGCCTCCTGTTTTCTAATAAAGGGTTACATGTATTACTACTCATGTATGTATTTCCTGTATTGACTGATGGAAGTAAATACTTATATCTTTATTTTGCAGTTTTCACCCAAAGACTCAGCATATCATTTTAAATGTTTCTTGCTCATCAGTGTCCAGCGAATCTGTGTATAAAATACAAAGCTTTCTGCATCATCTTCATTCTGATATTTTTAAACTTTTGCCTGATTTCAAGGTTTGTAGACAGCTTAATTATTGTTTTAAAATACTTAAATCAAAATTGTTTTTGGGTGTTATTTTAAAATTCATAACACATCGGTGCATAAAATAATTAAAAACAGAGTTGCAAAGAAGTCATTCTTTTCTGTAAAAATCAATGTATTCGTTTTTTTTCTTATCTTTTTATTTACTGTTAATATGGGTGCATTTAAATTCAATTTATTGATTATTATTCAGTAAAAAAAAAGTTAAAATTTGTTATGATATTATGAGACATCAGGTGTCTAATACTGCAATAAAGTGCGATGGAACAGCTAAAGTGACGAAAATAATTACAACCTATTTGCAAATTATATTATGAAATTATGATTTAAAAGGTATTTTCACGTCTTTAAGTCGCAGAAGTTTCAATTTAAGAAGTTAAACATGGTTTTTACAATTGTTATTAATTTAAATTTTTGTTTACATACATTAGGTACTTGTTTAGCAAACTTGTTTAGCTTCCTTACTGTTTAGTGTGCTAATTAGCTTTGACATAAAAAAATTATTCATTTGTTTTATCATTAATTTAATACCTTTCTTGTTTGTTTGCTGTTCTAATCGTTTGCTGTTTTATGAGGAAAAGCGAGAAGTTAAGAAAATCTGTAAAAAATTTTATTTCATATTGTTATTTTTATACTTTTTTTATTGTTATATTTCTATGTATTATTTTCAACTGTAAATTTATGTATTTTTATGTGCTGAGTTGCGAGTTTTATTAATCTATCACTAATGCTTGACAAAAATAAACGTTTTTTTATTGCCAATGTTCAGGTGAAATATTGCAAATTTAACAAATTCGATTGTAAACCAAACCCCTACTTTAGTTTACAAAAATTTTCCAAAAATTCGCGTCCTGTATTCAGAAATATAGGGTAATTGAATTCAATGTTGGATTGCTCTTAATTTCTTTATTCTTCCCTTCCTAGTCCAAGACTCAAGATTTCATTTCAACATCTTCTGTGATAAATGCACCTTCAATGCTACAACTAAATTATCGTCCGCAAAAGCAACTGAATTGGTATTACCACACTGATATAATATTTTAATATTTTTTCAGCTTTTATTAAAGAACTTAAAATAATAATGTTGTGTTTTTCTTCCTTCTTTGTACAGGAATAATGTTGTAAATTATGTCCCTGAAAAATATATAGAAGATACAAAACATTATCCGGGATTCAAAGAAGAGCTTCTGAAACTGAAAGCTGCTCAGAAATCTGATTTACAGTCTTCATGCAACAATGGTAATCTTTTTCTTTTTTTCTGAACTCGCATTTAAAATGAAACATCTTATTTTTGCTAACTTGCCAGGATACTTTGTTTTTAAATTGCATTGACTATGTTTGTTTTGCTTAAAATTGTTTTATACCATTTGAAAAATTAATAAGTATTAAGACTTATTTATTTTACAAATGGTATAAATTTTTTTTTAAACTTAATTGTAACCAAATTTTAGATTTTAATAATTGTTTCTACATTGTGTCTAGAAAGATGTATTTCAGTTATTAAATTTTTATCCAGAAAATAGTTTTATCTGTAATTATACTGACTGCTTTATCATTTGGTCAGTTCTAATTTTTAAAACAGTTATGACATTTTTTATCTAGCAAACTTATCTAGCAAACAGTAATAGAACCAAATTTTATATTCATTATGAATGAACTATATAATGACAATATGGTGTCTAGTAAAATCTCTTTCTTTTTTCTTCCAGTTATTAATTTTTCATCCAGAAAGTAGTTTTATCAGTAAATATACAGACTGCTTTATTGCTTGATCAGTTCTGATATTTCAGAAATTTGTAAAAAAATTTCATAAACCAACCTTTTTAGTAGTTAAACATGAGAATTGTAAACAAGTATGATGATTTAAAAAATAAAGAGTTTACAGATTGATTTTGACATAATTTTGCTGTCATATGATCCCCTTTCTATTATACTGCTTGAGAATATAGAATAAAACTTTGTCTAAAGGTTGAAACACAAAGGAATAGTGTTAAAAACTAATTGTTCTGTTCCTGAGGTTTGCTACAATAACAGAATTTCGCAATTTTCAAATGATGATACTTGCTTTTTTTTTGTCAAAATGTAAAAATTTTAAAATGTAGTTGAAAGGATGTTTTAAGCAATGAAAATAACAGTAATTGATCGAAGCAACAAAAAAAAAGAGTGTTTTGTAAATTTAAAGGAATTGACAATTCAACGCTACTAAATGCAATTTGGAGGCAAAGGGCGAAGAAAAAAAAAACATAAAAGTTTTCAAAGCTATCAAAAATACCAACTTAGTTTTCGCAATTTTTTTAAGGTAAAGACAAGCAAGTGGATAGGTTTGAACCTAAAATAGGTAACACATGCTTAATTTAATATTTTTAAGAGAAGGAAAAAATCAGTTGCAGCTTTTTTTTAAAAAAGATAATTAATGATAACCATTTTCAATGTTATATATTATGGAAATAAATGATTAGATTATACTTATTCTAAAATTAATAAGAATTATCTTAGACATACTTTTCTTACTGTTGAGTACTTTTTAAATTTTAGGTACTCAGTCTTATCCTAAAGTATTGTTCCTTGGAACTTGCTCTGCAACATCTACTGCTTACAGAAATGTTTCAGCTATTCTTTTAAATGTGAAGTAAGTGTAATTTATTAATGTAAATAAAGTATTTTTAAATGAAATTACTGGAGAAGAAGCTTGTTTTGATTTGCCCTATCCTGAGAGAACTTTGCCAATTTTTCAAAATAAGATTTTTGGTGCCCTGATAAGTTCCTAAACCAAACAGTAGTTAAAGGAGATCATTGTAAAATATTTAGCCGTACTACTCTTCAAAATACTCATTGTTTAGAAAATAATTTCATTCATTTAATTTTTATTTTAACTTCCATTGCGTAGAGAATTTTTTTATTTTAAACTTTTGATTATTTAACTTTCATTTTGCAGTTCTTAAAAGTCTCATTGTTTGAAAGAAAAGTATTTCGATTGTTTAACTCATTGGTTACTATAATCTTGTCACCCTGTATTTTGGTGTTTTTAAAAACCTCATGGTTTAGAAAGGCATTTTAATTCTTCTTCTTGTATTTTGAATTTTGAAAAGCTTCATTTTAACGAAAAGTATTTTTGCTTAATTTTTTTATTATCAAACCTACATTTTAATATTTTTTAAAGCCTCATTGTTTAAAAAAATAGTTTTAATTTTTAAATTCTCTAGTTATTACACTTATATGCTGATGTTTTTAGAAGCCTATTGTTCAGTAAAGCATTTTAAATACTTTACTTGTATTTTAATCTTTTTAAATACCTCATTATTTAGATAAGTATTTTTTTACACATTGGTAATAAAACTTGTATTTTGATGTTTTTAAAAGTCTTATTGTTCAAAAAAAATTGGATTACTCCACTTGTATTTTAAAATCCTCATTGTTTAGGAAAAATATTTTGATTATTTAACTCATTGGTTTCTAAACTTATATTTTGATGTTTTTAAGAGTCCTATTGTTTAAAAAAGTACTTTGTCTATTTTTTTTTTATAATTGAACGTACATATTGATGTTTTTTGAAACCTCAATACTTAGAAAAGTATTTCATTCAATTTTATTCGGCCAAGCATCAAACTCGCAACACATGCAAGTATAAAAAGTAATGTTTTACTTTGTATAATTACATAGAATGATGTGAAAAAACCAATGAATTTAAATTTTATTGATATTTGTTTAATTTCTTTTTAATGTTAACTTAGCACAAGAGCTAGACTAATAATATATTGGTAACAATTTAGAATTAATCTTTAGTGATAATCCAAAACGAAAATGTCACGAGTAGGCTCCATCAAAACTGCAATAATTTAACTTGCAGAAGCATTTGGTGGTTGTAATCGTTCAGTCTCCTCACCACACTTCCTAACTGCCCAAAGGATTTGATTGAAAGAATTTCATTAATGACTATTTGCAAGTTTTGCTCTTCACATATATTGTCCACATATAACACTATAGGAAAAATAAACTGAAATACTGCACTAGTATAGTAATTAATAAATATTTTATAATCTATTACACTGAGCCACGATGGCTCACGGGATAGAGCGTTCGCCTTCCAATGAGGTGAATCGGGTTTGAATCCCACCAATGATTGGTCGATACGAATCCACATCCGGCTTGCACCGACCACAGTGCTGAAGTGAAATATCTTCAGTATTAGACGGATCACGGGTTAGAATCCCTTTTCTGCCAGACTGACCTTGGGAGGTTCTCATGGTCTTCCTCTTCATGTAATGCAAATGGGGGTTAGTTCCATCAAAAAGTCCTCCACGAAGGCATAGTTTCTTCCAATACTTGATCTAGGATTTCCCTTATCTTCTGGATTGGGTTCAAAATTACAAGGCTGCGGAGTTGAACAATAGAAGTCGTAAACCCAAAAATTGTGTCGGCTGTTCAACAACGGTTATAAAATTTAAAAAAAATTATTACACTAATTTTTGAATTTTATTGTTTTTGATCTTTTTTCGATCAAATAACTTTTAAAATATACCAGATACGAATAACTGAAAATTATTCATCCATTATTACTTTCATTTTTGTTATTTTTCTATATAGCTACTTGTTTCACTCAGATTGAGTTTTTTTACTACTTTTTAAAATATTTGTTTTATTTTGCTAACTTTGGCTCATTCGTTTTTTTAATTATTCCGTTTCTCTATTTTCAGTTCTAATAGAAATATCTTGTTAGACTGTGGTGAAGGCACTTTCATGCAATTTGTACGCTATTTTGGAAAAGAGAATGTAGATATGGAACTACGAAAAATCTCTTGCATTTTTATCAGTCATCTGCATACAGATCATTACATGGTAAAATTAATATTTCTTTCATTTACATTGCATTGTTTCCTAAAAAAAGAATCACCTTATATAATTTTTCATTTAATTATAGGCTTTTTTTTATATCAAGTTGAATTCCTATTATTAAGTGGGGGATGAAATGTTCGTTGACTATTGCAGTCAACTAATTAAATTATTAGATCAGATGATGAAGCATAGCTTTTTTTGTAAGGTTTGAAATTATTTTAAAATTGTTTGTTCTTTTGAACTATTCAATGTAATAATTTCCATAATATATTTTAATGTATAAAAATGTTAACTCTTGTTAACTTAAAAAAATTTTAATATTATAATCCAAAATTTCACATGAATCAGTTGAAAAGTTCAAAAGAAACTCCAATAAAAAAGGGATATTTCATCTAAAGTGCTATGCTTTTTTTTTTAAATTGTTATTTCTTGGGAATTCAACTAGTTCATTTAGAATTTTAATTTTTTAAATTAGGTCTGCACATGATGTTACAAATTTAGTTCTGTATGTTTTTTTTTTAAAAAAAAACATTTGATTTTTAAGAAAATATTATTTATTATAGGGCTTATTTCTTTTATTGAAAGAAAGAATGGAAGCATTTAGAAGATCTGGTTGCATTTATCAACCTCTTGCTTTGATTTTACCTAAAGAAATTTATTATATTTTTAAACGATTTTGTGAATTATATGATCCTATATTTAAGAAAGTGAGGTAAGAAAAATTTTATAATTTTGTTTGTTCTTTATAGTCTCTTAACTTTTATTATTAGTCTTAAATAATTATCAAAATCTGGAGTTTTATTATTCCAGTTATTCATAATTTATTCCACTTTAGACTTATTTGTAAAGAAACAATTTACAGTCATTGAAGCAAACTAACAAATAATAAGGTTCAATACATCAAAATTTTCTGCAACTATCGTGAAATGCACTGCAATATTATTTCAGTTTAATCATATTATCATAGAAGGAAACACATTTTGTTGAACAACGAAGTTTCAAAATAATATACTAATTATGTTTCATTATTTTATGTTGCGATAGACACTATAATAGGGGGTTATCATATTCCACTGGTGAACAAAATTAAGACAACATCAGAATTGGACACAGCTTCAATGGGCTCATGTTCTCTGCACCGATAAGTCCAGATTCAGTCTATAACCTGATTCTGGACAGTTATTGCTATGGAGGGAACCTGGAACCTGATACCATCCCAGCAACATTATCGAAAGGGACCATTATGCTGGTGGAGGACTCATGGTTTGGGCAGGGATCATGCAAGATACCNTGAGAAGAAAAAGCCAAATAAACTACAATATTTTTTAGGAGATGTAGAGGTATGTGTATCATATATTTTTCCATGATTCTTTCTCATTTTTATATTTATGAAAAGTAATTGGCTTTACTAGTTTCAAAATGCATCTAATGAATTTTCTTTTAAGATTGAGACTGTTCCTGTTAGACATTGTAAAGATGCTTATGGGATTGTTTTAAAAAAGGAAATGGCCTGGAAAATCGTTTACTCCGGTGACACTGCACCTTGTCAGAAATTAATTGATGCTGGTAATACAATCATTTTTATGTCTCTCAAGTTTGAATATTGAATGAATTAAAACCAAACTAAAAGCTAATTTTTTCTTTATTTTAAAATTTCATTTTACCCTCCAAGCATTAGTTGTAGCTTACTTTGTACTTACAGGGATGTATTTTGCACAGAAAATAGTTTTTAAACATTCTTTACAAAAAATACATTGAATTATTTCATTTTGATTTTGCATAGCTTTTTTGTTGCAATTTTTTGATAAGGAGCTAGATTGAGAGAAGCTGTATAGTGTTTTATTGACATTTTTTTTCAGTATCACATTGTAAAAATTAATCCCTACATTTTGCAAGTTGTATAATAAAAAAAAAAATTTTCAGAATGTTGTTTTATTCATCTGTCACTTTAAAAAAACCCTACAAAATATGTTTATTTTTTCTACCTCTAGAGTGTCTTAGCCAAAAAATATACTAGGCTAGCATATAAAAGGAATATAGAGGTAAGTGGAGTAATATTGGGGTAGTAGGGTGAGACTAGATACAGTACAGAACCCGTTATCCGGAAATCAGAAAACCGGAAAACCAAAAAACCGGAACGAAATTCGATAAATTTTCCCGCCATTTAAAAAAAAGATTTTTTTTTCCCTTATAAGATTTTTCTTTCTTTTTTGAAAGATGTTTACCTTACCATCATTTGGAAATAATCATTAGTGTATTACTCCATCGTTTTTCCTTCTTTTTAAGATTATTTCCAAAATTTTTTTTTATTTATTTGGATTTAACAATAAAAAAAGCGGCTTTTTGTAGCGATTCAGAAAACCGGAAAAATCAGTTATCCGGAATAGCGATGGTCCCGATCGTTCCGGATAATCGGTTCCCTACTGTACCTCGATTGTGTGGAAATTAGTTCTGTTTTCTAACAAATAAACTCTGAATTACGCTTAACTAGTCAAGAAGGACTTACCATATTGGCATGTCGATTTTGATTGATTTTTGGCATCTGTGCAGGTATATTTGTTTTCCTATGTCAAGTCTCTAATGTTTTTCCGTTTTTAAACTAGCCTTATTTATATAATGTTGCCTGAGGGCAGCTAAATGAGAAAGCCTTGGCCTGCACTAGGCTGTAGTGCTGACGAAGAAGAAGTATTTTGAAACACATATTTTACTTTTTGTGGCTGCTGTGAAATGAAAATGTTAATTATCCATTATTTTATACATATGCAAACAATTAAAGTTACTTTTGATTTGCAAACTGTAATTTAATGCCTTAAAACTGTACACTGTCATGTGATCTCATTTCAAATTTTCATAGTGCTAATACAGTAAAGTAAATTTTAATTACGTAAAATGCACCTTAAACATAGAGAGTTTTTGCTTTTTCTGTTAACTTATGCAATTATCGTGTAATATGCTTAAAAATTATCTAAGTATTTATTTAACGAGTTGATTTTAAAATGAATAAAACTAAAAAAAGTAGACATTTGTTTAAAAAAAAGTTTGCATTTTTTTAATGAAAAAAAACACGAACTTTTGATTTATTTATTTATTTATTTTTGTCATGGCTTTTTGATTAGAAAAATAAACGCTTAACTTTGTTACATGAATTATTAAATTTTTTTTCTGTTCCATGAATTATTTTTTTTTTTTTATATACAATGCATATATTTTTTGAATATGTTATGATGTAACTAACTTAAATACAACTAAATTATTGAAATATATCTTAAAACTCTATGTTGTCATAGGTATTTTTAACACATAAAAATGCAACATTGTTACATTCATTTATATAGAATTCTTGTGATTTTTCATAAATTTTCATATTTAAAATTTTCTAAGGTTCTAGATTATGTAATCATATTATCTAACTCTTATGTTTACAAATATAAATCAAATTTTTTTTTTTTTTTTAATCTACTATTTGCAATTTTCTTTAAGGTGAAAACTGTACTTTACTTATACATGAAGCATCTATTGAAGACGATTGCATGAATGAAGCTTTGGCTCGGAAACATAGGTAAGTTAGTAATTAATTTAGAATGATTTGATATTTGTAAAGAAAAACAGTGTGTTCTGATATAGTTTGTTAAATTTCGTAATTTGTATTATAAATGTGCAGTAGACAAAAATCATTTTGAATAACTTTTTATGAAATGATCCAATTTTAAGGCACTTAATTTTAAATGTAATGCTTTAAGAAACACAATTTAAATTTGTTGACTACAATTTTAAATAACAAAAATTATAGAAATATTTGAGATTTTTTTTATTTATATTACACAGTTAAATATTCTGTAAAATTTTATTTAATTGGGACTATTGTTATTAAACTAAATTATATTTTATTTATTTTTATTCGGTTTATTTATTTATTTTTTTGCATCTTCTGGTTCCCCTTTTTTTGAGGGTCAAGAATCCAAATCTGATAAATGAAAATTAATGTTTCTATAGAGATTGAATTCTTATGTCTGATTTCCTAAACTTGTTAAATGACTGAATTAGGTAATGAGTCTATTTTTGGTGAGCCCCCAAAATCATAAAAATTACCATTTAGTATGTGGAAATCTGATCATTAATTCCAAAGTGATTCTGAATGAAACAATTTTTTTATTTATTTTTGAATATAGTTTATTATAAAATGGAATAGAAAGTGAATTAAGAACATAGTGGATGTAGAACAACAAAATAGAAGCCTGTAAAGAAAAAATAAATTTGCGAATTTTGCAGCGATTATGATAAACTTAATACATTTTTTTAACTTATTGTATGTGCTTATTTTAATCTTCATTTTATCATATTACAAACACAAAAGTTTAAAAAATAGCGATTATATAATTCTATATAATATAATTCTATAGTGATTGTATAATTCTATATAAGTTTATAACTTATTTTTTAAATTATCCATAACCAGCTGTACTCATAGGTTGGGGAAAAAATCATTTAAGTTTGATTTCGTTTTGATTTTTTTTAAACTACGTGAATTAAGTTTTTAGCGCAGTTGGGATTTTTGTGAGCAAATTTTTTTTCTCCATAAAATTGTGGTGTTTTGAAAAGAAAAAAAAAGTTTGCATGAAATAAGTCACATTTACCTGAATTACTCAAAATCAGCCAAACCAATTAAAAACATTTCTCCTTGCAACAAAATATATTATTGTGAATGTTGCATCAAAATGTGAACTAAATCGGTTGAAAAGTGTACTAGTTAGAGATTCAACAAAGAAAAACATAATTAAAATAAATTATTTCAATAAAATAATTAAAATGATAGTATTTTGCTAAAATGTTTTGTTAGGAGTGAGAAAATCCATTAATCAAGTGAGCTCACAAGTTCACTTGTTTATACATGTCACAGCGCATCCTGCATCATATACCATGTTTGATGCTGTAGCTTATTTTCTCCATTTTTTGAAAATTTTACTGTGTTGTTTTCCCTTAAGGTGTAAAGTTCATTTCTGAAAATTTCTTTCTTAGCTAATTAAATCATTAGTTGGCTTTAAAAAAATATTTATTTTAGTACACCATCACAAGTTATTGATATCGCAGAAAAGATGAATGCTCAACATACCATACTGACGCATTTCAGCAAGCGTTACTTGGCTACTCCGATTTTTGACAACACCAGTAAAAATGTGGGCTGTGCTTTTGATTTCATGAAAGTAAGTAACCTATAGTTATCAAACCCATTCAAATCTCTTTATTTTGTAGCAAAATCATATGATGGCCTTATATGAATAGTGATGCAAATAAACTTTTTTAAAAAATCTAGTTTCAGTTTAGTGTTCATTCAAGTTTTTCCTATCTTAATTCTGCTGCCATATTATGTATTCGTCAAATAAATTATATATATAGTTAACAATGTGAGACCTGGTGAGTGTGCGACTGAGTTTCATGCTCCCATGCCACAGGCTTGGAGCCCTATCTTTGGATTGGGCAAGATTGACATAGCCTTACGTCATTTTAGTGAGTTGATAAAATGGGAACCAAACATGCTTAAGAATTAAACTCTGGAAATACTGCCTTCAGCTTGAAGTGATTTATTTAGTTGACTATGTCAACCTTCACCTATCAAAAGGTCCCTTGAGATAGAATCAAGTTAACATGTTTTATATACTAGTGAATTGGTATTTAATATTTATAGTGGTAGTTACGCCACATTACTCCCCTTCCAGAATTTTATCTGTGGTAAAATTCGATGAGCGAATCCCACTAGTTGATTTATGCTGTTTATATATTTATATAAGTTTTGCTCATTATATTTTTACTTCATAGCATTTCGCTCATTATTTTTTTCCTTCATTTTTTTTTCTTCTTGTTTTTATAGCATTTCACTAATTTTCTTTTTTCCTTCATTTTTTGTTTATTGACCGGGTGACTTTATTTACTTCACTAGATTTTTTTTCTTCGAGCAATTAATATTAAGCAAATCAACTGTTTAATGTGGACCATCCATCATGTTAGCGATTTAATATCACCTATGGAGGTCACCATTGAAGGGATTTATTTAATTGAGTATGTCAACCTTCAACTATCAAAAGGTATCTCAAGATATAATCAAGTTAACATGTCTTATATACTAGTGATTTGGCATTTAATATTTATAGTGGTAGTTACGCCACAAGCTGACCACCCAACTGGAACATCTGCTCCTGCACATCAGAGCCCAATGTTAAGAAAACCGGAATAGGGGCAGTAGGCCTGGCTCTTCCTTAGTCTGTTTTGCCACTGAATTTACTATACAGTGTATTTTATCAGACAAATACACTGAATAGATTTTAAAGCTCTGTATCATAAAACAAACAAAATCGTAGTTGTTCTACTACTGAAATGAGGCCTTCATACCTGGTTATTTTGTTTCATTTCTATCATATTCTTCAGAATTTTTGCAAATATAAAGCACCATAAAAAAAATCGGGTGTATCTATATTGCAGCTTTATAAATTTAACTTTTTGCCCAGGTTCATATGCATCAAGGAAAACCGAAAAAGTTTAGGGAGTTTGAAAGTAGCTAAAAAAATCAGGAATTAAATTTTTCAAGCTTTTCTTTCTTTCTTATGAAAAATTCAATAAAAAAATCACTAGCGTTTTAAAAACAACCAAATACTATGTGAGTTTAAATGCTTGTGGTAGTAAATGCTTCAAGGAGTGATAGTAATTTTGTATTGATGTATATTAACTTTCATTTATTTTTTTCTTGCTCTTAAGGTTTTATTAATGATTTTTGTGTTGTTTCACACATTAATTAATATGCTGCACATACTATGGAATTGTCGCTTTGCAGAGTCAAGAAATTTTTTCCAAGAATTAAATACAAACACAGCATGGGAAACCAAGGAATATATTTAAGCTTTAATAAGCAAGCTAATAATTTCTTTTTACACATCTAATGACTTTATAATGCTTGGTGTTCATAATCACCATCATTAATATACATATTGAGAATCCTTGTCAAAATCAAAGCAATGTACAGCATTAGGGATCACATATTAAAATGAAGAAAAAAATAGAGATGGTCAGGTGAAACATGTGATTGTCAAATGGAACTGGAAAAAATCTTAAGACATTTGGACTCGGATGGGATACGGGTGTTTCTTTTATGTATTTTTTTCAGTTGCACTAATTAAGAGAAAAAATATATTTTGGTAAATTTTTTCAATATCATCAATTCAATTCATCAGTCTAAAGTTAAAAAAAAAATTTGTTAGATTATTAAAAATATATTTCTACTGAAATATGAAATCCAAAAAAAGTAGTTTGAAATTTTTTTTTTCATTTAAATGCAAAAATGTATCAGTAATTGATTTTGTAAATTAAAGAAATTTCAATGATGAGTTACTGTTTTTCTAAAATCTAAATAAGTGCAAATTTGAAAACTTGTATTTCAGAAGTGAGCAATGTTTAAAAGATTTTACCTTTAACACAGAAAAATATATTGGTCTCCCATGCTGTATTTCATTACCATACACAATTAAAATGCCGAATATAATATTTTCCACTTATTTTGACCTAAATTGATACAAAATAATGAAAGAAATTTGAAAAATATGTTTAATAAAAATTCTGATTCAAAGGATTTGATTGATAATGGTTCTAAGATTTTTGTAATGTTTATCTCACTTAAATATTACACTGGTGTGCAAAACTTAAGCAACAAGTGCGTTTTCGGCCACAGCTTCCCAACAAAGTGTAAGATAGCCATGAAATTACAGTATAATATGCACGTAATTCAGTAGAAAGATTATTTGTATGCAAATTTTAGAAATAAAACGTCGTAGGTGATGTAAGTGTACGTAAACCTTGTGGGTCGGCAAAATTA